CTGGAAGGGTCTAGAGCCTCCATTTTTTGCACTCAGGTCAAAGTCTCACAGCCCTCTATCATAATCCAGAGTTTTGAGAAGATTGGAGAAACTTAATTTTTCGCCCGAAAATGAAAAAAAAAAAGAAAGGGGTAACACTGTCGTTTTTTTTTTCGGGTCGAAATTTTGAATTTTGATATCTCAGCTCTGGAAGGGTCTAGAGCCTCCATTTTTGCACTCAGGTCAAAGTCTCACAGCCCTCTATCATAATCCAGAGTTTTGAGAAGATTGGAGAAACTTAATTTTTCGCCCGAAAATGAAAAAAAACGAAAGGGGTGACACTGTCGTTTTTTTTTCGGGTCGAAATTTTGAATTTTGATATCTCAGCTCTGGAAGGGTCTAGAGCCTCCATTTTTGCACTCAGGTCAAAGTCTCACAGCCCTCTATCATATCCAGAGTTTTGAGAAGATTGGAGAAACTTAATTTTTCGCCCGAAATGAAAAAAAAAAAGAAAGGTAACACTGTCGTTTTTTTTCGGGTCGAAATTTTTGAATTGATGATCTGCTCTGGAAGGGTCTAGAGCCTCCATTTTTGCACTCAGGTCAAAGTCTCGCCCTCATATCATAATCCAGAGTTTTGAGAAGATTGGAGAAACTTAATTTTTTGCCCGAAAAATGAAAAAAAACGAAAGGGTAACACTGTCGTTTTTTTTTCGGGTCGAAATTTTGAATTTTGATATCTCAGCTCTGGAAGGGAGAGCCTCCATTTTTGCACTCAGGTCAAAGACAGCCCTCTATCATAATCCAGAGTTTTGAGAAGATGGAGAAACTTAATTTTTCGCCCATGAATGAAAAAAAACGAAAGGGGTAACACTGTCGTTTTTTTTTTCGGGTCGAAATTTGAATTTTTATATCTCAGCTCTGGAAGGGTCTAGAGCCTCCATTTTTGCACTCAAAGTCTCACCAGCCTCTATCATAATCCAGAGTTTTGAGAAGATTGGAGAAACTTAATTTTTCGCCCAAAATGAAAAAAAAACGAAAGGGGTAACACTGTCGTTTTTTTTCGGGTCGAATTTTTGAATTTTGATATCTCAGCTCTGGAGGGTCTAGAGCCTCCATTTTTGCACTCAGGTCAAAGTCACAGCCCTCTATTCATAATCCAGAGTTTTGAGAAGATTGGAGAAACTTAATTTTTTCGCCCGAAAATTGAAAAAAAACGAAAGGGGTAACACTGTCGTTTTTTTTTTCGGGTCGAAATTTTGAATTTTGATATCTCAGCTCTGGAAGGGTCTAGAGCCTCCATTTTTGCACTCAGGTCAAAGTCTCACAGCCCTCTATCATAATCCAGAGTTTTGAGAAGATTGGAGAAACTTAATTTTTCGCCCGAAAATGAAAAAAAACGAAAGGGGTAACACTGTCGTTTTTTTTTTTCGGGTCGAAATTTTGAATTTTGATATCTCAGCTCTGGAAGGGTCTAGAGTCTCCATTTTCGCACTCAGGTCAAAGTCTCACAGCTCTCTATCATAATCCAGAGTTTTGAGAAGATTGGAGAAACTTAATTTTTTGCCCGAAAATGAAAAAAAACGAAAGGGGTAACACTGTCGTTTTTTTTCGGGTCGAAATTTTGAATTTTGATATCTCAGCTCTGGAAGGGTCTAGAGCCTCCATTTTTGCACTCAGGTCAAAGTCTCACAGCCCTCTATCATAATCCAGAGTTTTGAGAAGATTGGAGAAACTTAATTTTTCGCCCGAAAATGAAAAAAACGAAAGGGGTAACACTGTCGTTTTTTTTTTCGGGTCGAAATTTTGAATTTTGATATCTCAGCTCTGGAAGGGTCTAGAGTCTCCATTTTTGCACTCAGGTCAAAGTCTCACAGCTCTCTATCATAATCCAGAGTTTTGAGAAGATTGGAGAAACTTAATTTTTCGCCCGAAAGTGAAAAAAAACGAAAGGGGTAACACTGTCGTTTTTTTTTTCAGGTCGAAATTTTGAATGTCGATATCTCAGCTCTGGAAGGGTCTAGAGTCTCCATTTTTGCACTCAGGTCAAAGTCTCACAGCCCTCTATCAGAATTCAGAGTTTTGAGAAGATTGGAGAAACTTAATTTTTCGCCCGAAAACGAAAAAAACGAAAGGGGTAACACTGTCGTTTTTTTTTTGGGTCGAAATTTTGAATTTTGATATCTCAGCTCTGGAAGGGTCTAGAGCCTCCATTTTTGCACTCAGGTCAAAGTTGAAAGAGGTTCTTTTAAATAATAAAGTGTACATTCTTAACAAACGGTTTCATTCTCTAGATCTGATGTTTTTGTTAACCAGCAAATATAAAACAAATATTCTGTGTTTTACAACTTAAGCAAATTACTATACATTACAGTAACGAATCGCTATACAAACATTCAACCGGATCTGCAAAGTTGTTCAAATCATCGCTTAACATTGATGAAATATTAATCAGAATATTCCTACTATCAGTCATAACTATAACTATTGCACAGTTTGATTCAGATGGTGGTGGTGCATAATATCAAAATAATGTCAATACAAGCATTTTGCAGAAATCACACATTTTATTAGACACTAAAGTATTTAGAAATCTATCAAGTCCTCCAGTAATATTATGATATAATGTTGTAAAATGAGGAAACTAAAGCTAATCCAGAATTATTGTGTTCTACTTGACCATTGCAAAGACGATCTTCGAAAGATTTGGCTATTTCTCTCGTGAGAGAAATGAGGAAGTTATGAGTGTGGAAAGTCATGCACTATTCATAAAAGATCAAAATGACAGCGCAACATGTTCGTCCCGATAAAACTAACACAACTATTCTAATTTCACACGATTCATTAGAAGCATCTGAGCATGTGTGGTGTCGTACAGTATAGTGTGTGTTACATTCTCTTCCCACACACACTTGTAGGATATATGACAATGAATGAACTTTATCAACAATAAACTATTAATACTCGCAGAAATCGCACTTCACATTACTTCACGAAATGTACATCACTAAAAACCGTAGGCAAGCTCATATTTGTCATTTTAAGAAATATGTAAATTATCTTCCATTAATGACAAATTTTAATAAAACTAGTGCTGCCAAATCGATTAATCGCGATTAATCGCATCTAACATACAAGTATGTAAATAAATATGTGTGTGTGTACAGTATACACACAAACACACATATGATATATTTACAAAGGTTTATGTTAGATGCGATTAATCGCGATTAATCGATTTGACAGCATTTATTAAAACCAAAAAAAACGTGAGTAATTATGTTCTGATATACAGTACCCCTGTTCCCCAACACCACAGATTACCAACAAACGTCTCCATATATTTGGTGTTATACAAAAAACATTAATTCTTAAAAAAAGTATAGAGTATTAAGAACATGCTTTTCACATAAAACAGCATACTCAATACATGTGATGTACTCGCATACAAGTCCTGATATGAAATGACTCATAGAAGTCCAGCAGTGGATGTAAACAAGACTCGTACAGCAGCGGATCACGGGCGAGTCGGCGAACACTCCACGAAGCTCAGCTGTGCTCTGGGCGCCACATTAACTGAAACAGTACACAAATATTGTTACATTCACACACGATTAATCGCAATTAAATCCAGTTAGCTTATCGCGACTCTGAATTTATGATTTATGTGCAGCTTGTCAGTGAAGCACGGCTCTGTAAACGCCGTTTAAAAATCCATTTATGAACCTCTTGTCCAACAAAAGACAACATTAATAACATGCTTTACTCCAAACTCACTTCATAACGCAAGTTGAGCTCGTGTGTGTGTGTGTGTGTGTGTGAGATGATGCGCTTCTGTCACAGAATAAGGCAGTCGTGTGTTTATTAGTCGTGTTTCATCAAAGTGTCTCAATCTTCTGTTTATTCAGAGACTGATAGTATGAAGCCGATCGGGATTTCCTGGAATGATGTGTGTTATCATACTTCTGCGGGGCATGTGTATGTGTGTTAAAGACGCCCTCTGGTGTTCAGATGGATATTTAACATGTGTGTGTGTGTGTGTGTGTGTGTGTGAGGCGCCCACTGGTGTTCAGATGGATATTTAACATGTGTGTGTGTGTGTGAGAGACGCCCTCTGGTGTTCAGATGGATATTTGGTGTGTGTGTGTGTGTGTTAGAGACGCCCACTGGTGTTAAGATGGATATTTAAAATGTGTGTGTGTGTGTGACGCCCTCTGGTGTTCAGATGGATATTTGGTGTGTGTGTGTGTGTGTGTGTTAGAGATGCCCACTGGTGTTAAGATGGATATTTAACATGTGTGTGTGTGTGTGTGTGTGTGTGTGTGAGGCGCCCTCTGGTGTTCAGATGGATATTTAACATGTGTGTGTGTGTTAGAGACGCCCTCTGGTGTTCAGATGGATATTTAACATGTGTGTGTGTGTGTGTGAGGCGCCCTCTCGTGTTCAGATGGATATTTGGCGTGTGTGTGTGTGAGACGCCCTCTGGTGTTCAGATGGATATTTGGCGTGTGTGTGTGTGAGACGCCCTCTGGTGTTCAGATGGATATTTGGCGTGTGTGTGTGTGTGTGTGTGTGTGTGTGAGACGCCCTCTGGTGTTCAGATGGATATTTAACATGCGTGTGTGTGTGTGTGTGTGTGAGACGCCCTCTGGTGTTCAGATGGATATTTAACATGTGTGTGTGTGTGAGGCGCCCTCTGGTGTTCAGATGGATATTTGGCGTGTGTGTGTGTGTGTTAGAGACGCCCTCTGGTGGTCAGATGGATATTTGGCGTGTGTGTGTGTGTGTGTTAAAGAAGCCCTCTGGTGGTCAGATGGATATTTGGCGTGTGTGTGTGTGTGTGACGCCTCTGGTGTTCAAACGGAGAAGCATTTACTACCGATCAGCCGTTCTTCACTGACAAACTGCGCACATAATAATCGCAGCCTTTGCCAAATCGCTTTCATTGTGATTTATTGCGCTGCCCTAATTCACACTCCTCAAACTCTCTTCGTCAGGGATGTTTCGACACACACACAGATCTCACTTGTTGGGCACAGTTGGCGAGCCAGAGCGGTGGAAGTGGATATTCTGCCATTTTCCGTCCCGGCGATGCCACACACGCGTTTCCTCCGACTGCATGGTGCGAGGCGTATTGTTGACATCCATGTATTGGGTGAGCCGTATATACGCCACGCACGCGGCGTCCTCACCGATCAGGTGTACGTGAGGGTTCAGCAGGATGGTGTGGATGGGTTTGTGGCCTTTGGAGAGAGCTGGAGCAGAAGCACAATCATGCTTTAGAGGGAAATAGAAAATGGTGGCTCACATTACGGCTGTTCGAAAATCGATCGGACCAACCAACACAAGCTTCGAAAACAAAACTGGGAATCGATTTTAACGGCCTTTTTTTACCAAAAATGTGTGTTAGGTGGACGGATCAATACAGGACACAGAACATGTAGGATACTGGGAAATAACAATGTCTTTTCTGTAGGGCTGTCAACTTTAGATCGGTCGATGCCGTCTTGGTCGACTGACATTCTTATTGGTCGACCAGTCGCATTTTTTTTTTACCAATAGAAATAATTTTTCAACGATTTACTTCTTGATATTTATTCCTTTATAAGCAGTTATTTATTACTGTATTCTAAATATAATTAGCCTATGTTTTGTCCCCAACTTTAAAATGCTTTAATTTAGGCTATTTTTGTAACTGCGCCACAGTTTAGCGCACACACATAGTACACTCGGGAACCGCACGTGTGTCCGGCTGCGCTGCTGCTCGCGCTCGGTAAGGGATGCTGTATTCATTCAGTTAGAACGGCTTTAGTCGACAAAATGTCCAGGAAATCTAAATCTTTTGTCTTGTTGCATTTTAAAACAAAGACGACAAGACTGTGGAGGGAGGCGATTTATGAGCGCGCAAGTCGCGGCGCGCCTACATTTGAAATCGAATTTGAGCGCGCAAAAGACGCGAGCAGCCTTTTAACGGCTATATCAATCTGACTCAATAGATTGTGTTTTCTTAATGTTTTCGTTTTTATTTATACACTTAAATGCATTTGAAAATAGCCTAAATAATGCAACAAAACGAAAATAAACCTATACACGGTCCTACAGCCTATTGTTAGGATTGTTTTAGGCTATTTGGGTTTGTGTGTTGTTTAAAACGCCTTGATCGTCAGGACGAAGTTAATAGCTTTGAAAGTAAAGAAGAATATGAAGCCTGTATAAACGAGAGCTTTTGTTGGGATTTCTCATGATGTGGCAGATAGCAGTTATGTTTTTTGTAGTGTGTGGTGTGGTCAGGTGCGCGATTGGACCGAGGACACAGCTCCTCACTTTTTGCAGTTAAAAAAAAATCACTTAATTTTCAAAGAATTGTATTATTACTATCCACAAGTTTCCTACGCCCCATGAGGCCTTGCGTCAAAAGTGGGCGCGACTTCCGGTCGGAAGTAAACAAAGCGCGATTTGACATGCTTGACACTCGTTCATTCAACAGTTGACAGTCATTTAAGTTATAGCGATCCAAACTAGCTAACGATGTGGGAACACAACCTCAACGAAATTAAAAAGGGTGAAATAACAGTACCTTTACCCTCCACAGTAGTTGATTGGGAGTATTATAATAACATTATTAATAATCAATACTCATCAAGGCATGGTGACAGACAGTTGTGTGAGCTGACAAACAATTAAAATAAAAAATACACACTTAGTCATTGTGCTTTGGAGTTTATTCAAAATTATAAATGAATGTGCTGCTTGAATACATTAACTGGCACATTTGGTATTCTGTCAACACAGGCTTTGATCCTGAGTTTAGGTGTAACATCAGTAGCGAACAGCCAATCACATGCTGATAGAGTTTATAGAATATTAAGAATTTAAACAAATGTACACAGGAAGATTCGTCGTCTTTTGGGAGGTGATGGAAACTACAGTCGTTGGCAGGATCACTCTGATTTCGTTTTCAGCTTATGTTCAAAACAATCCCGTTTAAGCCACTAAATTAGTTTAGTCCGGTTATACATACAACCGCGAACAGCACATGTTGTCCCTGAGCTCCGTAACGACATCTCTTATAAAGATTTGCGTCTTTAAATAGTAAAATAATTCTCCGAAAAACAGCTAGCCTCTTCGCTAACTAACACACAAAATACCATCGGAATGCTACTTCCGCCGCCTCACCGGAAGTTTCACCCACTTTATTTTTTACAGGAGCGCCCCTCGGAAACTTGTGGATAGTTTTATTTATTTGTGATGTTTTTTCGTTGTTGTTTTATAAATGCTCAATGACAATTGTTTAAAAAAAATTTAATCAAAACATCACTTTTTTTTTCTTTTTTTTAGTCGACTAATCGTTGTGCAGGACAAGACTAAGGATTTCTTTAGTTGACTACAGCCCTACTTTTCTGTTAACCAGATGCTTTTTAGTATTCGCTGTTACTTCAATTATTTGTTGTGTAGTGACGTGTGTGTGTGTTCAAGTAAGCCAGAAATGCGCAGATTCTGCGATACGCTGGATTTAATATATCATGAGGATCACGAGTTTTGCAGATTTGTCTTACACGAACTTCCCCAGCTAAGTGAGTAAACACAGAAACACGCCTGATTGGCTCGTGATTGGACAGCGTTTCCCGCCAAAAGTTAATTTATACCACATCGCACGGGGTGAGTGTGTTAATCTCAATCCCTGAATGTTGTGCTCCTGTTTGTCACGAAACTTCCCGCTAATAGATCCCCAGAAATACTGCTGACGCTCGTCCTCATGCCTGTTAGGTGTCCGTGGATTTGCCTGTATTTGGTGTTGGAAATGTCTTCAATGAACACTAATGTCTCAAAAATCGAACAAAAGTGACAGCCCTAATTCACATGGAGGTAACCAATCATGCATACACACTGTGTGTTTGGACCAGTAAATGTGTTCCAGATGTGCTTCTATTGTTAGCACTGTTGACCCTGTTTTACAGCTGTTTAAACTGGAGATGGTTATAAATCACAGATAATTATCTTTCATACAAGATGGATTGGATGTTGAACGTATGTCAGACGGACAGTGAAGTCTACCGTATGTGGTTAATGTTCAATAAGCAGAGGAAAGACCCGTTCACACCAATATAGAGGTTATGTACTGACGCCGTAACACGTTCCCTCATCCGGACCGAAGAGTTGTATAACCTCTACAGTGCCATTCAAAGCACTTTCACCCTTTTAACTAAACAAACTCATGGATTTCTTAGCAATTTGCATATTGTAACCAGTAAGTGTAATAAAATCTCAAAGATATGTTGGAGTTTGACAGCCACCTCAGTTCCTCAGCATGGACAGAAAGAAATCGTTCCTTTAGCATGAAACATCACGTACCGTTCTCAAAGTAGAACCTGTGGAAGTCCGTCCCCTCCACCAGGTTTCCCAACGCTTCGGGTTCGAAAGAGGTCAGTCCAGGGTCACAGATCTTCCTGTGGGATATCATCATCATCAGATATGATAGTGTTAACGGGGTGAAGGAAGAGCGATGAGCTGAAAACACTCACGTGTACGCTTCGAAATCTCCGTTATTAATGGCTTCGATCAGCAGCTCCGTGACTTTAATGATCTCCTGTTTCCTCGCTAAAGCACACACACACAAAAACACAAAGAACAAAACGTCAAAACTGTGTAAAACACACTCAAATATGATGTTGGATTTACCAATAAAGCTCTTTATAATCTGTACATGTGTAGCTTTTGACAACCGTTTGCTATTGAGATAAAAACTAAAAAGTTGAGTTATGGATATTATTTAGCATGTTGTTTAGTTCAGGAACGATATTCAAATTATGAATAGTATAGAAAGTTGTTTTCAAACTTTTTAAAAGATAATTGCGACTTTTTATCTCACAATTGCGAGTTGCGACATGATATAGTCACAATTGTGTGTTATAAAGTCAGAAATGCGTGATGTAAATGAGCAATTTTGAGAAAAAAAGTCAGAATTGCGAGTTTATTTCGGACAACTCTGACTTTATTTCTCGCAATTTTGAGGAAAAAGTCGGAATTGTTGCAATTGTCTTTTTTATTCTGTTGCGAAAACACGCGTCCATAAAATAGAAAGACGGAGTAGAGACTTCATATTGTATAAAACCCAGTTTTGCGTTTTACGGATGCCCTGTAGAAACCTTTTTATGATTCTTGCATTGTGTATCAATAATCACTGATAGCGCGCTGAACTTGTGTTTAATCAGTGTTGGAAAGCAGATAACCTACATTACAGTTTTTACACTTTTAAAACTGTAGTTTCCACATGATGTAGTGACACTAAAACATTCTAAAACATTGATGAAAACATTCCAGGATTTTTCTCCATATAATGGACTTCAATGGGGTCCAAACGGTTCAAGGTCCAAAAGACAGTTTCAGTGCAAACTGTTCAAAGGGCTTTAAACGACACCAGACGATGAATAAGGGTCTTATCAAGCGAAACGATCAATCATTTAATAAATAAATAACAAAGTTTAAGTTTTATAAACTCAAATGGTCGCCAAATGTAGCCAGTGTAGTTTGCACTGAAACATTTTTGGACCATGAACCGTTTGGTCCCCATTGAAGTCCATTATATGGAGAAAATCCAGGAACATTTTCATCAAAAACCTTCATTTCTTTTCGACTGAAGAAAGAAAGACATGGACATCTTGGATGACACGGGGGCGAGTAAATTATCAGCAAAAGTGAACTACTCCTTTAAGTCTGTAAACATGATGTTAACACAGGCCAGAGAAAATACTGTACCAAACACAGCAAGCTCACAGATTGCTCAGTTATTACAGATGATGAGATTTGCAAGAAACAAAAAAATAACTAAAGTAAATCATGGGTAATTTTCATTTTTGGGTGAACTATAAGTCAGTCAGATTGTGGACTTGTGCTTTCTGTAATAAACATCTCTTTGACAGTGGAGTTATCTGTATTGCCACTAGAGGACACTAACGCTCCTTAAACGTCTTATTGCACACCCGCACGTCGAGGGAGCCGAAACAGTCAAAACTACAGACGAAACAGATGTTTGCAGAGACGCTTCAGTGCTTTCGTGACAGCACTCTCTATCTCATCAAACTCGAAATAAGACTGGCATTAGAGTGTGGAAAGCTTTTATTCGCTGTGTCCAACCAGGTTAGTAAATCATGATAAACTGTATTTCCTAAATGGTAATGTGTTCTCATAGGGACAGAGTCACTGGCCAGGATGTCATTCGTTTTCCATGAGGCTTAGTGATTTTACTGATGCAAATGAGAAGAAACAGCAACACAATACTTGGAAAACCAAAGGCAGCGCAGACGAACACTGTAGTTGGATAAAAGCAAGACATGTAAGGTAATCATAGCTTATAATCGCAGATCACCAGAGCGTTGCCCTATAGCTTCAGCTCGTTTGTTTATTGGTGTTATTTGAAGTGTTGAAAAAATAAGTCGCAATTAGCTTTTGGTTTATTTGATTTCGTGGCGGAAACAAGCTTTCACAGAAAACTGAATCCAGCATCTAAAACTAAGATATTGCTTGGCCTAACTAACACCAGCTGAGGTCTTGTCTGTGCACATCTCAGATATAATAATAATAATAATAATAATGTCTGCTTAGTATAGTTAGAAGTAATTTTTAGTTAGTTACCAGTTCAGCCAATGGAAAAAAACATACAATTGTTAGAAGTAAAGTAAGCATTTAGGTCCACCCCTAAACATACCTGTCAGCAGATCGTATGAAAACCAGATTGAAACAAATAAGCCACCAATTCGCCAAAACGTACGAACTGGGATATGAGATTGTGTTGGTTCGGCATTATTGTACACCAGTTTATAAGTGTGCGTTGACTCCTGGTCTCCCTCCTGTCACTTACACTGAATGGTGACGTGGTTCTGGATTAGCTGAGATCTTTTGGGAGCAGCTTTGGGAATAATGCACTGGCCACAATCGGCTGTTGAGTTGGCGTAGAGGAACGCCAAAAGGGCAGATAGGAAAACCAGCAGGTATAGAGCCAGGAGGGCTCTGAGAATGAGGTTACAGCAGACTTCTTCAGGACACATGTTTGGGAAGAACCAGGAGATGGAGGAGGAGGAGGAAGAGGAAGAACTAGACTCACGGGAATGAGATCGTTCAGGCTTATATATTCTAGTAGGCAGGCGGTAAACTGGCCCAAGGATATGAAGGATTTATTTATACGGGAAAAACGTCAAGGGCAAGATGGATGGATGGATGGATGGGTTGGCAGATCAATGGATGGATGGGTTGACAGATCAGTGGATGGATGGGTTGGCAGATCAGTGGATGGATGGGTTGACAGATCAGTGGATGGATGGGTTGGCAGATCAATGGATGGATGGTTTGGCAGATCAATGGACGGATGGGTTGGCAGATCAGTGGATGGATGGGTTGACAGATCAGTGGATGGATGGGTTGACAGATCAGTGGATGGATGGGTTGACAGATCAATGGATGGATGGGTTGACAGATCAATGGATGGATGGGTTGACAGATCAATGGATGGATGGGTTGACAGATCAGTGGATGGATGGGTTGACAGATCAGTGGATGGATGGGTTGACAGATCAGTGGATGGATGGGTTGACAGATCAATGGATGGATGGGTTGACAGATCAATGGATGGATGGGTTGGCAGATCAGTGGATGGATGGGTTGACAGATCAGTGGATGGATGGGTTGACAGATCAGTGGATGGATGGGTTGACAGATCAGTGGATGGATGGGTTGACAGATCAGTGGATGGATGGGTTGACAGATCAGTGGATGGATGGGTTGACAGATCAATGGATGGATGGGTTGACAGATCAATGGATGGATGGGTTGGCAGATCAATGGACGGATGGGTTGGCAGATCAGTGGATGGATGGGTTGACAGATCAGTGGATGGATGGGTTGACAGATCAGTGGATGGATGGGTTGACAGATCAATGGATGGATGGGTTGACAGATCAATGGATGGATGGGTTGACAGATCAATGGATGGATGGGTTGACAGATCAGTGGATGGATGGGTTGACAGATCAGTGGATGGATGGGTTGACAGATCAGTGGATGGATGGGTTGACAGATCAATGGATGGATGGGTTGACAGATCAATGGATGGATGGTTTGGCAGATCAATGGACGGATGGGTTGGCAGATCAGTGGATGGATGGGTTGACAGATCAGTGGATGGATGGGTTGACAGATCAGTGGATGGATGGGTTGACAGATCAATGGATGGATGGGTTGACAGATCAATGGATGGATGGGTTGACAGATCAATGGATGGATGGGTTGACAGATCAGTGGATGGATGGGTTGACAGATCAGTGGATGGATGGGTTGACAGATCAGTGGATGGATGGGTTGACAGATCAATGGATGGATGGGTTGACAGATCAATGGATGGATGGGTTGGCAGATCAGTGGATGGATGGGTTGACAGATCAGTGGATGGATGGGTTGACAGATCAGTGGATGGATGGGTTGACAGATCAGTGGATGGATGGGTTGACAGATCAGTGGATGGATGGGTTGACAGATCAGTGGATGGATGGGTTGACAGATCAATGGATGGATGGGTTGACAGATCAATGGATGGATGGGTTGGCAGATCAGTGGATGGATGGGTTGACAGATCAGTGGATGGATGGGTTGACAGATCAGTGGATGGATGGGTTGACAGATCAGTGGATGGATGGGTTGACAGATCAGTGGATGGATGGGTTGACAGATCAATGGATGGATGGGTTGACAGATCAGTGGATGGATGGGTTGACAGATCAATGGATGGATGGGTTGACAGATCAATGGATGGATGGGTTGGCAGATCAGTGGATGGATGGGTTGACAGATCAGTGGATGGATGGGTTGACAGATCAGTGGATGGATGGGTTGACAGATCAATGGATGGATGGGTTGACAGATCAGTGGATGGATGGGTTGACAGATCAATGGATGGATGGGTTGACAGATCAATGGATAGATGGGTTGACAGATCAATGGATGGATGGGTTGACAGATCAATGGATGGATGGGTTGGCAGATCAGTGGATGGATGGGTTGACAGATCAGTGGATGGATGGGTTGACAGATCAGTGGATGGATGGGTTGACAGATCAATGGATGGATGGGTTGACAGATCAGTGGATGGATGGGTTGACAGATCAATGGATGGATGGGTTGACAGATCAATGGATAGATGGGTTGACAGATCAGTGGATGGATGGGTTGACAGATCAATGGATGGATGGGTTGACAGATCAGTGGATGGATGGGTTGACAGATCAGTGGATGGATGGGTTGACAGATCAGTGGATGGATGGGTTGGCAGATCAGTGGATGGATGGGTTGACAGATCAGTGGATGGATGGGTTGACAGATCAGTGGATGGATGGGTTGACAGATCAATGGATGGATGGGTTGACAGATCAGTGGATGGATGGGTTGACAGATCAATGGATGGATGGGTTGACAGATCAATGGATGGATGGGTTGGCAGATCAGTGGATGGATGGGTTGACAGATCAGTGGATGGATGGGTTGACAGATCAGTGGATGGATGGGTTGACAGATCAGTGGATGGATGGGTTGACAGATCAATGGATGGATGGGTTGGCAGATCAGTGGATGGATGGGTTGACAGATCAGTGGATGGATGGGTTGACAGATCAGTGGATGGATGGGTTGACAGATCAATGGATGGATGGGTTGACAGATCAATGGATGGATGGGTTGACAGATCAGTGGATGGATGGGTTGACAGATCAATGGATGGATGGGTTGACAGATACGTGGATGGATGGGTTGGCAGATCAGTGGATGGATGGGTTGACAGATCAGTGGATGGATGGGTTGACAGATCAGTGGATGGATGGGTTGACAGATCAGTGGATGGATGGGTTGACAGATCAATGGATGGATGGGTTGACAGATCAATGGATGGATGGGTTGACAGATCAATGGATGGATGGGTTGACAGATCAATGGATGGATGGGTTGACAGATCAGTGGATGGATGGGTTGACAGATCAATGGATGGATGGGTTGGCAGATCAATGGATGGATGGGTTGACAGATCAATGGATGGATGGGTTGACAGATCAATGGATGGATGGGTTGGCAGATCAGTGGATGGATGGGTTGACAGATCAGTGGATGGATGGGTTGACAGATCAATGGATGGATGGGTTGACAGATCAATGGATGGATGGGTTGGCAGATCAGTGGATGGATGGGTTGACAGATCAGTGGATGGATGGGTTGACAGATCAGTGGATGGATGGGTTGACAGATCAGTGGATGGATGGGTTGACAGATCAATGGATGGATGGGTTGACAGATCAATGGATGGATGGGTTGACAGATCAATGGATGGATGGGTTGACAGATCAATGGATGGATGGGTTGGCAGATCAATGGATGGATGGGTTGACAGATCAATGGATGGATGGGTTGACAGATCAGTGGATGGATGGGTTGACAGATCAATGGATGGATGGGTTGACAGATACGTGGATGGATGGGTTGGCAGATCAGTGGATGGATGGGTTGACAGATCAATGGATGGATGGGTTGACAGATCAATGGATGGATGGGTTGACAGATCAGTGGATGGATGGGTTGACAGATCAATGGATGGATGGGTTGACAGATCAATGGATGGATGGGTTGACAGATCAATGGATGGATGGGTTGGCAGATCAGTGGATGGATGGGTTGACAGATCAATGGATGGATGGGTTGACAGATCAATGGATGGATGGGTTGACAGATCAGTGGATGGATGGGTTGACAGATCAATGGATGGATGGGTTGACAGATCAATGGATGGATGGGTTGACAGATCAGTGGATGGATGGGTTGACAGATCAATGGATGGATGGGTTGACAGATCAGTGGATGGATGGGTTGGCAGATCAATGGATGGATGGGTTGGCAGATCAATGGATGGATGGGTTGGCAGATCAGTGGATGGATGGGTTGACAGATCAGTGGATGGATGGGTTGACAGATCAGTGGATGGATGGGTTGACAGATAAATGGATGGATGGGTTGACAGATCAGTGGATGGATGGGTTGGCAGATCAATGGATGGATGGGTTGACAGATCAGTGGATGGATGGGTTGACAGATCAATGGATGGATGGGTTGACAGATCAGTGGATGGATGGGTTGGCAGATCAATGGATGGATGGGTTGGCAGATCAATGGATGGATGGGTTGGCAGATCAGTGGATGGATGGGTTGACAGATCAGTGGATGGATGGGTTGACAGATCAGTGGATGGATGGGTTGACAGATCAATGGATGGATGGGTTGGCAGATCAGTGGATGGATGGGTTGACAGATCAGTGGATGGATGGGTTGACAGATCAGTGGATGGATGGGTTGACAGATAAATGGATGGATGGGTTGACAGATCAGTGGACGGATGGGTTGGCAGATCAGTGGATGGATGGGAAAGCAAATACATTTAGACATGGATTGATAGTTTGAGAGAAAAATGCAAAAAGCAAGGAGGGGAAATGAGTATGACATAGAATGAGAAAATGACATAGAAGATGAATAACAGATTTACACCCCTGAAAACAGACATGAATGAAACAGCAAAGGAATGGCAAATGGAACAGAAACATCTCCGTTGTAAATACATTTATCTTCACATGGCGTTTCGTTCAGGAGACACGCAAGAACCAATGGCAACTTTTACTGTCCATTTCAGAGCTTTGGTGGAATTTAAAATTAATAGTGATTTATTTATTTTTTTGATCAACATGGACATTTTTTTTGAGTGGTGATAATTTCTGCATAGGTTTCATTAGGTTTAACGTATGCATTATTCATGAAAGAAGTGATTACATTATTCCTCTACAACTTCAACTGGTTATGAAACGATGTGAGTGGGGATTTGCATTTAAGCAAAATATGTATTTATTTATCTGGGGTAAAATATGACAAGTTCTTGACAGGTGTAATGAGATTCAGTCTTATACGACTCTAATGGCCAGATTTACTCACAGCTTACAACAGCAAACCCTCTTTTGGTGTTAACCACGACTGTCAGGATTTACTGCGAAATAAGCGCTGAAATACGAGGATAGGGTTATTTTTATTGGATATGCATTTGTAGGAGTTTCCCTTTCAGACAGTATTAATGGAGGCGAGTGTTTAAATGAATTATACAAGGTTTGCGCTCGTCGAAAACTGGCGTTTGCATCATTATTTACCGGCCAAAAGGCATTTCTTAAACCAGACGCTAATTTACGCTGCACTTGGGCGATTGTATTGGTCATTATGGAAATGAAATCTGACTTTTGGTGTTTAGAATCAGAATGAACAACAACTGAAAATACCATTAAATATCATGACACAAAAACAGTCACATGACCATCTGCATTTATGTCACACAACCTAATCTACAGATATTTACACAAGGGACACAAGCGTTGATCTAGCGTCAAAGCTCACGATAGCAAAAAGAGGAACAGAAACTTAGAAGGCATGTGAGAAGAAAGCTTAAAATATAAAGATTAACCTCCACAGATATTCACCAACCGTAAATTATAGAGTACGGTGGGCCAAACTAATAACACATGCAGGAAACAGGTGATCAGAGTCTGCATGTTTCCATTTTTACAGCATGACACAGTGTATAAGGACAGGCTGCATTCAACAGTTATTGTAGGCGAGATACGGCAGGCAAACACATGTCAATTTTGAGATTTTGGGCTATTTGTATTCAATAACATGTCGTCTTTCAGACTTGTGCTGAAAAAAACACACCGTTAGAAAGCTGTCGGATCCAAATATGGTCATTTCCTGTTTATCAGCAACCAATCATGAAAGTAAAATGGGCCGTTTAACTCAAAATGTGCAATCCCATAAAAATCTTTAAAGGCCGTTTTCTCAAAATGATTTTCTCACATTTCTAGTGATGATTTTCCACTACACACACCAAACTTTACAGCCGTATACCTAACTATATTGCGAAGGTTTGTTCCGAGGGATTTGTTGATATATCATTCTTGGCCTGATTTATATGACATTTAATGCCTAAAATAGGGCGGAGATCTATTTTTTAAGGCTATTGGCAGGATTTTCTGATTTACAGGGTAACAAAAGGAGATATTCATAATCCCCTCATTGAATATATCGACAAAATGCAAACATATTTTTTTTCAATGGTCAGATTCGTCACTTCGAAATATATGCAAATTAGCGCATAATTAATTAGCATATTTAAACATAAAATTACAGAAAACTTTTTCACCTATTTATGCAAGTAATCAACTGGTAAAGTTTCACGTTGACATCTGTAAGTTAAAATTTTTTATCCTATTCACCTGCAGTGTCTCGCCTTAAGAATCTGTCAAACAATTGACATCTAATCTCAAAACTCGTAGCAGAAATAAAAGGCAGGAACGAATGAAATATTAAAGAGTATACATGTCATGTCTGAGAATGACTCTTCTACTGTAGATCTGAAGTCTGTGTTAGGTTCACTGTACCTTTAATGTCCTCGTCTTCAATTGTGGTGTTGGCACTTTCTGATGATTCCTGAGAGAGAACAAACACATGAAGGAAGGAAGGAAGATGTATAAATGTTAAATGAAAAGTTAGTTATTAACCCCCTTTCAGAAGGTTAAATATATCTCTGACTTGATGCGTTTTATTAAAATTGATCTGAATAGAACAGAAAGTATGTATATTGTGATGACATTTGGAGATTATGTGGCGTTGTGCAACCTGAACTGAGAGAAACATTTGAAGAAACACAAGTATGATGGAGGCAGACATTCAGTGACAGTGAATTGTTTGGATTTCTGCATTTATCACTTTATATAATAAATGTGACCTGATCTTAATTGAGCGTGAGTCCTGTTTACAGCTGGTATTAAGGTGCGTTTTGTTTTATTTATTAATTTGGACTATTATGAAAGGGCAGGGCACCTGTGAAAGAATCTTTTGTAACATTATACATGTCTTTACGGTCACTTTTTATCAATTTAATGCATCCGTGATGAATTAAAGTACTCATTTCTTTCCAAAAAAGTTGAAAACTTTTCAACGGTAGGGTTTATGTTACAAAAGCTTTCTATTTCAACTTTATATTCATCAAATAATCCTGAATAAATGTAGTACACAAATGTTTTCAACATTGATAATAATCATACATGTTTCTTGGGCAGAAAATCCTCATATTAGAGTGATTTCTGAAGGATCATGTGACACTAATGATGCCTTCATAACATAATTTTAAAATATATTCAAATAGAAAACAGTTTTTTTTTTTTTAAATATTGCTGTTTTTTAATGAAATAAATGCAGTCTTGGTGAGCAGAAGTGTGACTGTGATAATAGAAAACATTCACCAGATGCAAAAGTGTAAGCCACATTTATAGCCCTTAATATTTCAAGACACTTAATACCTTGTTTCCATCAGTGGGATTGTGGATTACAGTAGTTTGAGGCTCCTGATAGAGACGTGCACGGAGAGAGAGAGGAGGATAAAATCAGAGAGTTGAAGAGTTAAAGGACACCAAGCCAAAATCTGTGCAAATTGACTGATAATCCTTCTTACAATTGATTGTACTGTGGGACATGGCTCATTTATTCTGTTAAAACTATCTATACTTCATTCTAGACGATTTATACGTAATATAATGCCTGTAATGTTTAAACAATGAGGCATCAAAGTGCACCATATTCATAGAAAGTGTTCATCAGCAGAAATATCAAACATGACAAACTCAAAAAAAGCAATAATGAAATAATCGAAGTCAGGTTCATCCTTAATTCAAGGTCAACTGCTCATTTATAGATATTACAGTCTTTGGATGTTATAAAGTAAACTTTTCTAACAAAGCTTGGTGAACTTTAGAAAGGAAGAAGAGCATAGTGGTTTAGAGTTAGTCATGTAATTGTGAGATGGGAATATGGGTTATTAATACAGAACATCTACAGGATAATCAGCCCTAAACAAGCATAATTAAAAGTGAATTACCAAATTACCAAGTTGAAAAGTTTTGATTATTAAAATCATGTTGAAGCAATTGTCAACAGAAACGTACAAAGAAGTAAGAACAGCAGGTTTTGATTGTGTGTTTCTGTGTAAAATACCAAAGTGTAAAAATAGACTGTAAAATACATATGAAGAAATGTTCAGAACTGATATTTTACAGGTTTTTTACCCATATTTGGAATCGTGCATTGTGTCGTCCTTTGGGTTAGAGTTAAAGAAAATATCTGTAAACCTAACATATATTGAATGGCAGAAAATTACCTTTTTTTTCCCCCCTACTGATTTCCCTCTCATGCAATATATATCCAATGTTAAAAATTTAGACCGATATAAATCAGTCAAAATAAATGGATAAATGTATGTTACACATTCTTAGCTTATGATGTTAATAGCTTTTACTTAAATTATATTAGATTTGTAGACAAATATGAATTGTGCCAATACATAAAGTCCTTTAGAAAACAATTATTGTAATTGATGAGTTCATGAAGGAAACACACAGACGTCCAGCATTCCTGTTTAAAAGCATCCCATAATGCACCTTGAGAAGCAGTTTAAGCAAAGAATGGCTGAATGCCAGATGGTCTTTATTTAGTTCAATTCTAATACTTTCATTTTTGTTTAGTTTCTTTTTTACAGAGATTTGATGACTTCACTATTATTCTAAAATGAGGTTCTATTTTAGAAAATGTAACCCAGACAGCAACATAGTGTCGGCCCAGATCCGGCCCACATTGGGTGTGTGGAATCCACGTGTACCGGATCTGGGCCGGATGTGGGCCGACACTCTGTGGTTTACGGGTGCTGCTTGCCTAGACGACTAAGATCTTCTGCATGATCGCTAGAAAGCCGACTCTCACGTATATGCAATGTTCTGGTGCTGATATATTTTGCGATAAGGTTGCTAGGGTCCTCAAAATGGTTGCTAGGGTGTGGATAGGCCAGGGTGATACTTATTTGGCAGTCTGAGTCAGAAGAGCCCACCCTAAAGCCGCCTTTCCACTGCACACGACAAACGACCGCCGTCGCACCGGAAGTCATTCATTTGGATCCGTTGAAATATCTGAACTTCTGCGGCTAGACCGTATGCGACCGGCCAACCGGAAGTGATGTATTCTAATAAAAACGTAAAAAAAAAAAAATTTCTAAAAAAAAGTGCGAGGCTAGAATTACAAATATTTTAACTCTTTAATGTTTTTCTGTAAACACTCTTTCTGTAAAATATTGGTTATAATTAACTATAGCAGAAAAAAATATTTTATAATTATAAAATCAATATATTAATTAGCTCTATAAAATGTGTTATGTTTTTATTTGAGATGTATTGAGGGTCATTTGTTCTGTGTAGATATATTTATGCATGCATTACATTCATTAAAATCATTAATTTTACCATTGTGAATATCCGAGGGTAACGGTTGCTTCACAACCAATTTCAAAGTTCCGTGCAACTGACACCAGGGGGCGAATTACGACAATCGTATGCGAATGTCGTGTGCAGTGGAAAGGCGGCTTAATTGTCTTTATGTTGTCCTGATCACGAGATATCTCAGACAGCAACATAGCGTCGGCCCAGATCCGGCCCACATCTGGGCCGTGTCGAATCCACGTGTACCATGTGAAATGAACCTCCCAACATTTTAAGAACATAAAAATGTTCAAAACTCTTATGAAATCCTGTGCTAAATTATTAGAACGTCAAATTCATATGTGTTGCTTTCAAACATTTCAATAGTCCACTGTACAGATTTATGTCATGGCAACTGACATATTAAATAGGCCACAATACATAGTCGCACTTTCAGAAGACATTGGTAATTGTTTGACAAACTGCATAATCTTAAAGTCCCCCTGTGGTGTAAATCCAGCGTTTAATGTGGTTATGTGTGTATGTGGTGTGTTTAATCCGCTTTAACACACACCGTGTGTTAAAAACTGCAGTGAACCAAAGACAGTCTCAAAAACACGCTTTGAAATCGCTGGTGTTTCTGACGTCACAAACCACCTTGTAACCAATCAGATCAACGTGTGATCGTCAACCAGTGGATCTCTGAGTGAGGGAGTGGAGGCGGGGCTCATTTGCATATTCATAGAACGGTGAATACTAAATGAGGCAAGGGTGTCGAGTTACATTCAAGATATTTTAAGGCACGAAGAATTTTGTTCACAGGAAAAAAAAACGTTTTAATATTTAATTTTGGTGATCAAAAATGAGTTTTAAGCGATAAAATGATTGACTGCAGGGGGACTTTAAATGCAGGATTTTACACAAGTGAATGTGAATTTAACAGAGAACGGCAGTTCTAGCAAATAAAAAAGGTCAAATTAAAGCCGATGGGAAGAAAAAGCATCTGACAAACAGTCATACAGACAAAGTACCAGAGCAGGAGCGGGTTCTTTAGGGCTGCTGATTACGCTGGTTTTGTTGTTGATCTATAGATGGACAGAGGCAGACAAGCAAAGCTTTAGACCAGCAAATCATTGAAATTACACAGCTTGCATCACCTGGATGTTGAAGGAATAGTTAATTAGCATATTTGATCAAAATGACAAGAATTAACTATTCCTCAACTACAGCAAAATGGACCGTCAAATAAGCAGATGGCAACTGTCTTGGCATTTTACACAATGCACAAACATCCGACTAAACCAGAAGTATTTAAAAAGTTTATCAGGCATAAGTGTGACTCGGAAAACGGACTCCTACGAGAATAATCCTGTAGATGAGTTTCATGTAAATCACAGGATCATTAAACAGCATCAAATGATTGTGCTTTTCAAGTTTCATTTAACGTGTGTTTTTAAGACAAACAGCCCAATTAAACACAAAGAGTCATGTCAATGCTTGTTGCCTATAGTTAAATGAAACTTGCCTATATTATGCTGTCAGGATCAAACGTTTTTAAGTGACAGACTCCACCCAATGGAAAACAGCAGAGCTGTGCAGTGGACATTTTCCTTGGCAACAAAATACTCGGACCCAGACTAAGACTCAGAATGTCTTTTTCAAGACAAGCCATGACCAAAATCAATGTTAGAGATTTCTTTGTAGCCACCATTTCAATCCTGTGTAAAACGCAGCGTAATGTCACCGAACAAGACATTGATGACCAGTTTTCTTGCATGCGTTCGTTTTTAACGAGTCCTGACTGTCGTACAGTCTGGCATAAATGACAACTGAGATCTTACAGTGTGACATATCTTACAGCGAGGATCATGTTCCTACAGTCTGACAAGAAACAATCGTGAATGACTATTATAAAAAATAGTAAAGTGTAGAGCCAAACCGATATATCGGCAGACCGATATTATCGGCCGATATTAGGCATTTTCCGAACTATCGGTATCGGCAGTTATAATGGCCGATGAATTAATGTTTCAAAAATAAAATAAAAACGGACAAAACACGCTTGAACCATGTCACGAGTGTTGGAGTTGTATAGTTTGTCCACCAGAGGGCGCTCTACACCGTTCCTGTTGGCAACACTCGTTGAGTTGGTCACGATACATACATTGCTTGAATAACAATTAAAAGAACATCCCCATCAGTTCTCTTTTTGGACAAAATTTGTGACGATCATGTCCAGTTTAAAAAAATAAATAAATAAACAAATAAAATATCGGCCGATATATCGGAATATCGGATTTTAAAACCCAAAAATATTTGTGTCGGCCTTGTAACCAATCAGATCAACGTGTGATCGTCAACCAGTGGATCTCTGAGTAAGTGAGTGAGTGGAGGCGGTGCTCATCTGCATATTCATAGGACCACGCATACTAAATGAGGCAAGGGTGTCGAGTTACATTAAAGATATTTTAAGGCGTGAAGACATTTTTTTCAAGGAAAAACGTTTAAGTATGTAATTTTGGTGATCAAAGATGATTTATAAGTGATAAAATTATTGACTTCAGGGGGACTTTGATAATGTGAATACTATGTAGACAAAAGGACTGTTTATAAAGAGATATACTGTATATGCATGCAAACACACACACACACACACACACATATAAACCCAGTCAAATAAAAAAATCTGTCTATGCGTCCCAATTGGATCTGACCCTTCACAAACGCTTACTAAAGCCATGACCCAAAAGAGCACTAATGCGTGCACATGCTCACCCATTAAACACGCTAAGCAAACATGTATGTGCAGTCGCTTCAATGTATATAATTATTTATTTATGTGTTTGTACGACAGTGTTAGATACAGTTTGATGAGTGTCGGACTAGTTCAACATGGAGAAGTGGTGTTAAGTAATTATTACCAGAGATTCTCAGTGATTTTAGTCCTGTGCATCTCAGTAATCATTACGGACAATCTCAGTAAAGATTACGGCGACTTTTACCTTTTGTAAAAAGGTCCGGATTATTGACCTCGGGTATTACTAATAGACCCTCCGTAAATATGTAGGTAAATATTCTATCATCTCCAGTTTAAAAGTAGTTTTCGACGTATGTAAAGCTAATCCCATCCGAATAGGGCTTAAGTCAGGGTATTTTGCTATGGTATTTAAGGCATTTTAACACTGTTTGGTTTCTAGGTGGTTACTTACTGGCCCAAGTCCGAACAGCTCAACCCCAAGCCTCCGTGAGACATATTAGACAAATGCTGGTCTCTAGATACAGCTCGAGTCTCTCCTTTAGTGAAAGTGCAGGGGTGTAGCCACCATTATAACTGTTGCTAACATGCTTTACCACATTGCTAGCATTTTTAACATGTTGCAAACATGCTTTACCAGATTGCTAGGCTAGCATGTTTTAACATGTTGCTAAATGCTTTACCACATTGCTAGCATGTTTTAACATGTTGCTAACATGACTTAGCACTTTGTTAGCATGTTTCGAGTCTCTCCTTTAGTGCAAGTTCAGGGGTGTAGCCACCATTATAACTGGGGGGCATGATATAACTGTTGCTAACATGATTTACCACATTGCTAGCATGCTTTAACATGTTGCTAACATGATTTAACACTTTGATAACACGTTTTAACATGTTGCTAACATGCTTTACCACATTGCTAGCATGTTTTAACATGTTGCTAACGTGATTTAGCACATTGTTAGCATGTTTCGAGTCTCTCCTTTAGCGCAAGTTCAGGGATGTAGCCACCATTATAACTGGGGGGCATGATATAACTGTTGCTAACATGATTTACCACATTGCTAGCATGCTTTAACATGTTGCTAACATGATTTAGCACTTTGATAACACGTTTTAACATGTTGCTAACATGCTTTACCACATTGCTAGCATGTTTTAACATGTTGCTAACGTGATTTAGCACATCGTTAGCATGTTTCGAGTCTCTCCTTTAACGCAAGTTCAGGGGTGTAGCCACCATTATAACTGGGGGACATGATATAACTGTTGCTAACATGATTTACCACATTGCTAACATGCTTTAACATGTTGCTAACAAGATTTAGCACTTTGATAACACGTTTTAACATGTTGCTAACATGCTTTACCACATTGCTAGCATGTTTTAACATGTTGCTAACATGACTTAGCACTTTGTTAGCATGTTTCGAGTCTCTCCTTTAGTGCAAGTTCAGGGGTGTAGCCACCATTATAACTGGGGGGCATGATATAACTGTTGCTAACATGATTTACCACATTGCTAGCATGCTTTAACATGTTGCTAACATGATTTAGCACTTTGATAACACGTTTTAACATGTTGCTAACATGCTTTACCACATTGCTAGCATGTTTTAACATGTTGCTAACGTGATTTAGCACATCGTTAGCATGTTTCGAGTCTCTCCTTTAGCGCAAGTTCAGGGGTGTAGCCACCATTATAACTGGGGGACATGATATAACTGTTGCTAACATGATTTACCACATTGCTAACATGCTTTAACATGTTGCTAACATGATTTAGCACTTTGATAACACGTTTTAACATGTTGCTAACATGCTTTACCACATTGCTAGCATGTTTTAACATGTTGCTAACGTGATTTAGCACTTTGTTAGCATGTTTCGAGTCTCTCCTTTAGTGCAAGTTCAGGGGTGTAGCCACCATTATAACTGGGGGGCATGATATAACTGTTGCTAACATGATTTACCACATTGCTAGCATGCTTTAACATGTTGTTAACATGATTTAGCACTTTGATAACACGTTTTAACATGTTGCTAACATGCTTTACCACATTGCTAGCATGTTTTAACATGTTGCTAACGTGATTTAGCACATCGTTAGCATGTTTCGAGTCTCTCCTTTAGCGCAAGTTCAGAGGTGTAGCCACCATTAGAACTGGGGGGCATGATATAACTGTTGCTAACATGATTTACCACATTGCTAGCATTTTTAACATGTTGCTAACATGATTTAGCACTTTGATAACACGTTTTAACATGTTGCTAACATGCTTTACCACATTGCTAGTATGTTTTAAAATGTTGCAAACATGATTTACCAGATTGCTAGCATGTTTTAACATGTTGCTAACATGACTTAGCACTTTGATAACACGTTTTAACATGTTGCTAACATTGATTTACCACATTGCTAGTATGTTTTAAAATGTCGCAAACATGCTTTACCAGATTGCTAGCATGTTTTAACATGTTGCTAACATGACTTAGCACTTTGATAACACGTTTTAACATGTTGCTAACATGCTTTACCTCATTGTTTACCACATTGTTAGCATGTTTTAACATGTTGCTAGCACTCTGTTAGCATGTTTTGAGTCTCTCCTTTAGCGCAAGTTCAGGGGTGTAGCCATCATTATAACTGCGGGACATGATATAACTGTTGCTAACATTGATTTACCACATTGCTAGCTGCTAACATGATTTAGCACTTTGATAACACGTTTTAACATGTGTGCAGGGATGTAGCCACCATTATAACTGGGGAACGGGCCCTTTACTTCGAGAAATTTATTATGGGAAAAAACAACATCTAGAGCTGTAAAATTACAATTTTATGACCAAACAGAAGCTTCTATGATCCTGACGCAAATCAAGTACTATGTAAGTTACTGAGTGAAAGTTAAGACTCTGATAAGGTTAATAATGTTTTTCCTTTTCAGATAATTCCTACATACCTTTTCCACACCCGTTTGATCATACACCAGGCAGAAACAATTAGTCACGAAGTATGTGTCAAAGTTTAATACTTAGGTTTATTTAACTTACCTTAACACCATCAGGCTTCTTGTATGGATTCTTGCCTGTTGAGTGAAACGAAAAAATTAATATGAACATAAAGAGGGATAGAAAGAGGAAATGATCAGGGGCAAAATAACACAAAAATAAGAATCCACAGTTTTAATCAGTGTGCGTTACGGATTGGTGATCCATTGGCTTTGAAATCAAAACCACTGAATGAATGGTAATTAAAGATTTGCATAATATAATGAAATATGATTGAGAAGCATATTAAATATTTATTTGTGTCAGTAGAGTTAAAAAACTGAATTTGTAATAAGACATTGAAAAGGGAAATGCTGCTTATGAGACACAATTTGATCCAAAAAAATATAAAGTGATTATTTTGATACGTATCGTGATTGCAATTTGAAGCGTGATGTGATAAATATAATATTGCTGTAATAATAATGCAAAAAGCACTCTGAAATAACACCATTCACTTGGAAATATACAATTTTATTGATCAAATCCTAGACCTTAAATCAACTAATCTTGCAGCCCAACTTAAAACAAAGTGTTAAATCTTAAATCATATCTGACATGTTTTAAAACTTCTGAAGCATCTTTACATGATTCAGTGAACAAACAACTATTAAACAGCAGATGTAAAGTAAAGTGAAGGGTTTCTTACTTGAGAAGTTTCGAGTGGCCAGCATGGTCGTCAGGATAGCTCCCTAAACCCCAGAGAACAGAGGAAAAGCTCACGTTAACTGCGTGACATATTAGCCTGTGCTAATGGATAACACGTAACCCAGCCGGTTAAAGTATGACATGTTTGAGAAGCGTGAGTCAATATGAAACCAAAATTACCTAATGTTTCTTAACCTTTTTATATATGCAAAATGGCTTGCCAATTCAAGATGACTTTTTTTACTTAACTTAACCCTAACTTTAACTTTTAAAGATGTGCCTTACCTAAAAAAGGTGTCATGATGTTTTGTTTGAGGACCCTGGAGTGGTTTTGATTATAGCTAGATGAGAGAAGTGTGATGACAAACTTTGACGTTGGCTTGACAAAAGCCTTGAAATAACTTTAAAAAGCTTTTACGAAGTCAAAATGTTAACAAATTCTAGGACATTGCTAATATGATTTAGCATGTTGCTAACATGATTCAAGCATGATTACCACATTGCTAGCATGTTTTAACATGTTTCTAACATGATTTAACACATTAAGATATTTTAGCATTTCGCTACCATTATTTAGTATGGTGCTAACATGTTGCTATCATGATTTAGCAGATTGTTAGTGTGTAAAATGTTGCAATCATGATTTAGCACTGTGTTAGAATGTTGTGTGACATGATTTCATACATTGCTAGCATGTTGCTAACATGATTAACACTTTGATAACATGATTTAACACTTTGATAACACGTTTCAACATGTTGCTAACATGACAGCAAACTGACATTGAATCAACGTGGAAACGACGTCTCTCATGACATTGAAACAACGTTGATTTTGCTCATCGAATTAACGTTGAACCAACGTCAGACGCGGCATTCTTCAAAGCTAAATAAAAATCGAAAATTGGTTTGCTTTCATAACGTTGAAACAACGCGTTGATTTCAAGTTGATTTTCCGTTAGTTTTGAAAGAATGACGCGTCTGACGTTGGTTCAACGTTAATTTGATGAGCAAAACAATGTCAGATCAACGTTGTTTCGATGTCATATTTCCACGTTGATTCAATGTCAGTTTGCTATCTGGGTTACCACATTGCTAGCATGTTTTATCATGATGCTAACATGCTTTACCACATTGCTAGCATGTTTTAACATGTTGCTAACATGACTTAGCACTTTGATAACATGTATTAACATATTGCTAACATGCTTTACCACAAAGCTAACATGTTTTAACATATTGCTAACATGCTTTACCACATTGCTAACACGTTTTAACATGTTGCTAACATACTTCACCACATTGCTAGCATGTTTAACATGTTGCTAACATGATTTACCACTGTGTTAGAATGTTTCTAATATGATTTAACTCACTGCTAGCATGTTTTAACATGTTATTAAACTGATTTAACACTTTGATAACACGTTTTATCATGTTTTTAACATGCTTTACCACATTGTTGGGATATTGTAGCATTTCGCTACCATTATTTAGTATGGTGCTAGCATGTTACTAGCATGATTTAACACATTGCTAGCATGTCTAACATGATTTAACACTTTGATAGTTTTAGCATGTTGCTAACATGCTTTACCACATTGCTAGCATATTTTAACATGTTTCTAACATGATTTAAACACATTGTTAGGATATTTTAGCATTTCGCTAGCATTAATTTATTATGGTGCTGGTATGATTTCTTGTATGTTTCTATCATGAACTAGCACATTACTTACATGGTTCAGCACATTGCTAGCAAATTGTACCATGTAGGCATTATTTAACATGTTGCTAGCATGATTTTGGTCTCAAACAGCAGATTTTGCAGATGGCTGAGTAAGCGTGTGTTTCTCACTTTAAGCTTCCTCCTGGCGTTGAACTTCTTCAGGCACTCCACCGTCTCCTGGCGGTGCATCATGGACGCCACCGTCGAGCGTTGCTGCATACAAACAGGGAAACGAGACATTAACAACTATTTTAAGATCTAGCAGTTAAAATCTCTCTTCGTAAGCAAAAAAAAAAAAAACATTAAACAGGATTAAGATGTGTACATTTTCTTATTTTGTTTAAATATCATATTCATTGCATGTTTTTTTTTAAATATATACATGCATGTATGTGTATTAATACAAAATAATTATACACAGTACACACACACATTATGTAAACACTTATTTTGGATGCGATTAATCATTGCACAGCCCTAATATATGTATAATATATAAAACATTGTAAGTCTATGTCCCCCTTTAGCTATATATCAGTGAATGTGTGTGTGTGTGTGTGTGTTTGAAACCATGACTGAAATACACTGTTTTATGTGGTATCAAATCAACTGTGTGTGTGTGTGTACATACACAGATCCAGGGGTGTTTGAGGGCCTCAGCTGCTGTGATGCGTTTGGCAGGGTTTATAGTCAACATCTTGTTGATCAGATCTTTGGCCTCTGGTGTCACTGTGTCCCACTCTGGAGATGGAAACTAGGGAAAGAACACACACACACACACACACACACACACAGACCATCAGCTTGACAGGAAAGAGAGTGTGTGAGATAAGTTTTAAAAACCACTGAAACGGTAACAGTGAACATATAATATAAAATGATATAATATAATATAATATAAAAAATAATATAATATAATAAATATAATATAATATAAAATAAAAAAATAATATAATATAATATAAAATAATATAAAATCCAAATATGATATAATATAATATAATATATAATAAAATATAATATAATATAATAAGCGCTCATTGTAACGGTGTGACAACATGCCCCGCCTGAGCAACTGAGCTTTAAACCCGGCGCGTGTTTCTGCTGGTTAGATCCGATTAACCCTTATGCTGCATTAGGGACATTTTTGGTCTTTTGCAGTTTAATTTCTTTGACCATTTTGGCTGTTTTAATGCAAATGGTATGAAATTTGGCAAAATTGTGACTTTTTGGATACATGTAAAAAATGTGATCCCATTTTGCAAAATATGTATAACACACACTGTGTAGATCAAATAGTAACACTCAGCACCATAAAGACCAAAAATGGCCCATTGAAACCCATTAAAACTGAGGCTGTCAGTAATACATGAAACATGATTTTTGCACAAACATCCTTTCATTTTGAAGCAAAAGCATTATATTTGCATTATATAGTGTATTCCACCAGATGACGTCACTACATATTTATTCCCTATGGGTGGAAATGCACCTTATTTTAGGCAATAGGCAATGTTTAATAGGTGGCCATTTTTGGTCTCTAACGCGCTAAGTGGGATTTTTTGCAAAGTGGGACTGTGATAATCCAAATCTAAAGTTTTCTCTTTGCATTTAGTTTATTGAAAATAATTGAATTTTTGAGTTTTTTCCTCTTATACAAATCGATGGTTTCGCAAACAAAACTGGTAATTAAAGGGTTAAAATCCTGAAATTGAATACATTTTTGGTAGTTATGATGAGGACTGATGCTGGTTAAAAGATTTAACTTGGTAAAAGTGGAAAAAAAATAATAATATATAATATTTTAGGCAATGTTTAATATGTGGCCATTTTTGGTCCTTAATGCACTCAACGGTGTTAAAAATCTAATGCAGCACAAGGGTTAAAGAACGATCTCAGCTGTTAAATTACAGATATAAGATTAAAATAATATCAGATTTGAGAGTATTTTGCTGGACAAAACCAACAAGTGTTCCTCTCTGTCGATCTGATGAAGATTTGCCCAAATCAAATCTATCAAACAAACATATGATGTGCAATATTCTCTTCATTAACCGTGTGTGTGTATAATAGTATAATCAGATATAGTCGTCGGTTGTGTGTGTCGTGTGTGTCCGGACGCTCACGTCGTACGCGCCGGCTTTGATCTGCTGGTAAAGCCGATGCTGGTCCTCGTCCCAGAACGGAGGATAACCCACGAGGAGGATGTAGAGGATCACACCTGTCAATCACAAATCACAAACGTGTGTGTAGGTATGAAGAATATGATATTAATACAGTGGTGTGAATAAGTGTTGGCACCCATGCTAAAGTTGCCTAAAAAGAGGAATAAAAAATCATCTTTTGGATATTGATCTTAATGCCTTAATTAGAAAAATGAGGAAAAGTCCAACCTTTAAGGACACCAATTTTCTTTGTGAATGAATAATGTATCGTAAATAAATAAATGTTTTTCCACAGGGTGCATAAGTCAGGACACCCCTATGTTAAATTCCCATAGAGTCAGGCAGATTTTTATTTTTTAAAGCCAGTTATTTCATGGATCCAGGATAATATGCATCCTGATAAAGTTCCCTTAAAATATCCCACATCATCACACACCTTCACCACACCTAGAGATTGGCATGGTTTTACTTCAGTTAGCCTAATAGCTGGTTTGATTTGCATTGAAAGATGATCTTATGGAAAGTACCCCATGCCAATCTCTAGGTGTGGTGAAGGTGTGTGATGATGTGGGGATATTTTAAGGGAACTTTATCAGGATGCATATTATCCTGGATCCATGAAATAACTGGCTTTTAAAAATAAAAATCAGCCTGACTCTATGGGAATTTACCATAGGGTTGTCCTGACCTGTATTTTAAGGAAAAACATTTATTTATTTATGATACATTATTCATTCACAAAGAAAATTGGTGTCCTTAAAGGTTGGAGTTTTCCTTATTTTTCTAATTAAGGCATTAAGATCAATATCCAAAAGATGATTTTTTATTCCTCTTTTTTGGCAACTTTAGCATGGGTGCCAAAACTTATTCACACCATTGTATATCGCTTCTGCCTTAAATTATTACATTGTTTAAATGAATACATGTGCATTTCTGAAACGCAGATCTCTGCACACTGTAACGTGGACTTGTGTATGTGCTGCTGATGTGTATTGTGAATATAAGTGTGAAGTTGGTCCGCACCACATGCCCACATGTCCACCGGTTTGCCGTACGGCTCCTTCCTCAGCACTTCGGGAGACAGATAACCCGGTGTTCCAGCAAACCCTGTACCGACACAGAATAGCACAACCTCATTTAAACTTAACTTTTTTCTTTCTTTTTTTTTTAAGTCTACAAAATGAGCCCCCCTGAATTATCCGAAGTACAATTTACTAGTCTTTGGATCGCAGCCTACTTCTAAAATATCTTCCGTCCCCGACGTCCCGTCAAACACCGGCGGCGACGCCGCCGTAATGAGAGCAAAGCCCCGGAGATCGCGCCAATTAATCAGGGTTTGTCCAGAAGTAAAACTAATTACACAACACCCGCGTAAAACTTAATCCTAATTTTCTGTGATTAAATCAGTTTTAGACAAGAAGGAAAGAGGCAAAAGCTACTTAGATAAAGATTATTAATGTCCTTTAAAAAAGACATTTTCGGTGTATTTTTTAATCAGAACATAATTTGAAAATAATAAAATCACGTTTTTTATACTATCCCAAAATGGGATGGACATGCACAACATCATCAAAGAAGAGTTATGAGACAACTTCTGAAAATAGCTGTCAAATGTAATTGCATCCAGCATTCCCAGAACAATATGCAGATTAGGGAAATATTAAAATAGAAGTAAACCATATTCACCAATACATACATGAATATGAATTGATAAGCTTATGAATGTTCTCGGATTATGTCATTCTCCATTTTGACTGCATTTTTAAACATATATATGTTGGGCTGTCAAATGATTAATCGCATCTAAAATAAAAGTTTGTGTTTACATAATACGTATATGTGGGTGCACAAAAATTATTTTATATATATATATATATAAATACACACACATGCATGTATATTTAAGAAAAAAATATTATTTATATATAAAATATTTATATTTATATATAATATAAATTATATATAAATCTATATACTAGGGCTGTGCAAAAATGAATTGCGATTAATCGCATCCAAAATAAAAGTCTGTGTTTACATAATTATTTTATATATATATATTTTTTTTTTTATATTCTCTATATATTATTTTATATATGTATATATAAATACCTATGCATGCATGTACTGTATACATTTAAGAATTATTTGCGCTCAAGTTCTGTATATATATATATATATCTATCTATATTATATAAATATAAATATTTTATATACGAATAACACATTTTCTTAAATATATACATGCATGTTATTTATACAAAATAATTATATACAGCACACACAAATATATTATGTAAACACGGACTTTTATTTTGTATGCGATTAATCGCAATTAATTTTTGCACAGCCCTACTATATACATGAAAATTTTTATTAAATATATACAAGCATGTGTGTGTGTGTTTATATATACAAAATAATAATATACAGTGCACCCACATATATTATGTAAACACAAACTTTTATTTTGGATGCGATTAATCGCGATTAATCGTTTGACAGCCCTAAGATATACATATATATTAATGTAGTTACGGTTTAGAGTTAGTAATTATGCATATGTTACTGTTAGTACTATAGTCAGTAAGTGTAATAATTGTACTGTAACTATACATCATCTTAAAATATAGTGTAGGTAATATATTAATGGACATATTAGTTCATCTTTGTCAGTGTTAGATACGAACCGAACCAGGCTTGCTGGTCTCCCTGCACCTCGATGGCCAGCCCGAAGTCGGCCAGCTTCACCGCGGCGCCCTTCAGTTTGCTGGCGAGGAGAAGGTTCTCTGGCTTTGGGCGACAGACAAAATAAAAGTCATGGTTGTGTATTGAGAGATTGAGAGACTCATGCTAATCATCTGTGGTGTCGTCATCAATCATCTTCAGTGGACGGATGTCTCATGACGCAGTGCTTCTCAACTGGGACGTTTCGCCTTCCTCACGCTCGCAGATAAAATCTAATGACACTAAAGACGCCAGTAGGTGGCGCCAAATCATTGTTTTATTGAGTGAGTCATTGAATCATTCACACGATTCGTTTAAAGCGGTGCTTTATTAGGATTTTGCTTTTCTAATGTTGCTGTTAGGAGAAAAGATACGAGATTTGCTTTTAAAGAAATCACTTTTTAAGGACTACAACAAACGGCTGGTGGAACTACACGGGTTAGTGACATCACTAACACTAACATTTACATAAACCCCTCCTCCGGGAACGCGATTTATAGATTGTCATGACAGAATATGCTAATCAATGACTGGAAGATAGTTATCTCCATATCAGCTTCATAAACTCACGTCCTGTTGTCTGCATGTCGTCACTTCATCATTATCTGACTCCGGTTTGAACATAAAAGGCTAAAAGTTTTTGAAATCTTCAGTGAGGTAAAAGAACACGAGCTCTTGAAGCTCCGCCCCCTGTGCCGGGAGCAGCAGCTCATTTGCATTTAAAGGGACGTACAAAAACGTTTTTGCTTTTTTTTACACGTTCTACGTGCGTTTTTGCTCACCCTCAAAAAGTGACAATTTGACCATGCTATATAAAAATATTCAGGGATAAAGCTCTTTTTCGAGTGCAAGCGGAAACCGTTTCGGTTTCGAGCGAAACACGTAAAACACAGCAAAGGCCGCTACTGGGAAATCCATAGGCATTCAAAGCTAGCGAATTGGTTGACACACACATCTGTGTACGATCAGGCTATTTAAATGGCAGTCCCAATTTTGTTTTTCAAAATTCAATAAAGTTAGCAACAGTCATCACAAATAATCGTTCGTATTTCCGGTTAACGTTACTAACATGAACTGCTAATAAAACGTATGGACGAGAGAACATTATAACGTGTAACAGGAAACTTGGCTTTTCTAAGAAGAGTGACTTTTTAATTTCGAAAGTAACGTTAGATAAATGACACTGACAGACAACACAGCCTCTGACCGCATTAACTTAAAGCTACACTGTGTAACTCTTTTAGTTTATTCTTAGTTCTTTCAAAAAAATATGTGCTCATTAATGTATATTTACTTCGTATTCTCGTGAGTGTATAATATGCCATTGAAAATAGATAAGGGTAAGGGGTTCGCCATGTTGCCCCTCCATCTTGAAAGTACATTAGCCAAAGAGGGACATACCCGTTAATTCAAGCTTCGCCTTTCGCGTTTACGTTTGAGTTAACACTCATGGACGAGGTCGAACCGGAAGCCATGTTAATCTTGGACTACATTGGCCACCGTAGGAGTTAACACGAAATCAGAATTGTAAGGAACAGAAACTAATATTCACTGGATGGTCATATACCTTTTCACCACTAGATGGGCGTAAAAATCACACAGTGTAGCTTTAATGAAGCTTTCATGAACGGCTTTCAAAATAAAAGTCTTTTTAACGTTTGCTGGTTGTTTCTTCGATTGTACTCTCCACGACCCGCCAGTTGAGAAACACTGTCATAGAAGACTTGGGTCAAACAAGAAAACATTATGAATACTTTTTTCTATATATTTTCAAAATCGATTTTCAATTATTTTTCATTTATTTTTAACAAAGGAGGGATTTCTGTGCTCGGACGAACACATGTTTGAACCAAGTCTTCCAAAAAAGTCTCTAGGGTTACGCAGAACCGAGAATAGACTTAAACGACTGAGCAGTGTAGAGTTATGTTGAAGCTGTAATAGAACTGTTACATTCAAATCCATCGAAAACAAATGACGTTTGTTTTTTATATTTGTGCATGTTATTTTTTATGTTTTTCTGCATAACCCATTAAGACTGAAGTAAATAATGATTCAACTCGCACACAAGTCATTGAAATACATGATTTTTGTTATGAAAGAAAGAAATAATTAACCAAGCACAAACCGAGCAATACAAACATACTGAAAACTTCTAGACAACCCCTTCATACGAGCCTTGTTTATGAATTCATAGTTACAATAATTACTGATATACACCTATTATTTAAAAAAATTCATCAACAAATAGATTTCACTTTTTTAGCTTAGAATTGATTGTCATTATCAATTCGTAGGGACTCTTATGTCAGGGGAGTCTAGAAAGAGCCGTTATAACACGAGGGCAACACCTGAGGACATACGGCTATTCAGGTTCGGTTAGTTGCGGTTAGTTAGATCAAGGCGCTAACATGCTAGGGAGTCATGCAGTCATTGCTTTATCAACACAAACTTTAATATTACAGTGGACAATCGATCAGTTAGCTCAGAATCCAATCGGATATATGCAAATACTCAAATTAAACCCTTAATATCGGCCCGAAGAGTAGCGAGTTTTAAAATCTCAAAAAACACTCTTCAGAAAATGTTGATTGAGAAAGCCAAAGCTTTATTACAATATTTGTCATTTTTTGAGATGCAAATCTCGCATGTTAATGTTCACTTGCTCGTTTACACTCGAAGGTGATTGGGCATGGTTATGTCAGTCATACCGACGTAACGCAACATTCGTTCCCCCAGATGAGGGACCAACTTCACGACAGCTGAATAATATGGATCTATCTACAGGTTGGGTTGTTAACCTCTTCCTTCCCTCGCGGGTCAAAATGACCCGAAGCCCCAAAATTATACTTCATTATTTCATTTTGAAAACATTTTTAATGCAAATTTTTGGATTGAAAAAATACCTTTAAAGGGGCTATGTGTAGGTTTTACTTAAAAAAGAAAATCTTTCAGATAGAGTCTTCATTCTTCCACCATAAGAATGCCAGCTTGACCGTTTACCTCGATCCGCCTGTCGGCTCAGGAGTGGAGAAGTCTTATTGGCGTGAAAATACACAAAATGTGACGTCATGCGTGTTCTCGTCTACTCGGGCTTTCATCCGTACGGCAGCCATTAGTGAGCAGGCAATCGCTAGCACTAGTGTTTCAAATGGACGAAAACTCCTCGTAAGTTAAAAAAATAAAAAGAGCCTTATCTAGAGACTGGCTGCAGTTTCCCTGACGGCCACTGGTGTCAGTAACGGTTAGAAGTTTCAGAACTTCCACAATGCTCCTTTAAATTACAAGATTTGATCAATAAATAAGTAGTAATATAAGCACATTCCTCAAATTTCTTCAACTTAAATCCAAAATAACCCACATAAGCTTTTAATTCAGCTTCCATTGGGTGTCTATGCCGACCTCTCGTGTAAAAAATTCACGATATTTCTTGACTCTTGCCTCTGGATGGCCTTATAAGGAGCAATCGAGTTGTTCCGCTGGGTCCTAAAGTCAGTTAATCTTCAATATGCATTCAGCACTGTAAAATCTAACATTGTTCTTACTAAGATTTTTTTTGTTAACTTTACTTAATATCCAATAGTTTGTTGAACTTACTTAAAATTTCTTAGTAATCTTTTGTTGAACTTACTTAAAATTTCTTAGTAATCTGTACCGTTTGCATCTTATGCCTTCGTTTCTCAGAAAAACCCTTGTAAACATTACTTGACTGGTTTGAGTACCATTTTGCATTATATATATATATATATATATATATATATATTATGATTTAATTAATTGATCGTAACAACTGTTTTTTTGTTTTTTTTTGCGGTCTTGTAAGTATAACCCCAATAACGATAGCAAATAAAATTGTAATGGTAAAATAAAGGCAAAAAATAGAAAAAAGCAATTAATTTATTCATGCCGCAATGCACTCTGGGAGTACACTTCGTAAGATCACAGACAGAATTAAGTTGACAAAACTTAAATGGATGAAGTACGAATAACTTAATGCAATTAAGCTAAGCTTACTTAATGAAATTAAGGCAACGAGTTTGCATAACACAATTAAGTAACCAGATCTAATTGTTTTTTACAGTGCACATGAGGACATTCTAAAATAGTTTTTTGATAATTATTTTGTTATTTGTTATTTTGTAATTATTTCACAAGTTTTATTGTGTTATCCTTGACAAAGTTGTTCTGCTACTTTAATTTGTTACTGTACTTTTTATGTAAAATAAACTCAACTCCACATTCCTAAGGGAGCCACGAGGGAAGGATACGTTACTTTTTAAAATTTCAACCACAATTTTTTTGTGTGTGTGTGTGTGTGTATTCGTGGTTCAAGTGCAACAAAAGTCATGGGACTTGGACCCCTCTGATGAACACTTCATTTGATTTTATTTTTCAAAAAATAAATCCCAGGTCAAATGACCCGAGGGAAGGATGAACGGTGACACACCTGAGCGGACGTCGTCTTCACGGTGTCTAGTCTTTCTAGTTTTAGCTAGTGTATACTTAGCAAACACCACGAGTTTACTCCATTCAGCATCAAATACCCAACGTTAGAGCTAATTACAGGAGTGTCGAGATCATATAAAGAGTAGCCGGATGTTGTCCTTTGTTAGAGAAGAGAGAGATAATGACGATTAGAGTAGATTAGAGAGCAGATCTGTGATTCCCTGAGGATGATTCCAACAGCAGAATCTGCTGTACATTATTATTACACACGCTCTTCTCTTGCCCTAGATAGCATACAAAACCTTCCCCATCCAACACTACGGTCTGCCCTAAATGACTAATAGTGTGTCCTCCTCATAATTGTACAATATTGCGTTTTGTAAATGGCTGTTACACAGTCTTTTTGATTGCTCTAAAAGTTGAATAAAAGCAAACCACCAACATTCTTCAAATTGTGGGACAAGCCATCACGGAATAAGACAGATCTCTTTTTGCTAATAAGTTATAAATGAGGAAGGAAAGCATATCACATCCACAACTGGATCTGATTTTGCTGGTGAGGATAAAAACTCTGATTATTATGATATTATGTATTGCTTTCTGCTTATGTTGTGCCTATTCCAACAAAAAAGGAATAGTTTATGCTACAAACAATGCTTTTTGTACTTGATGTTATTGTCTTGTTTCCAGTCCAAATATCTAAAAATTCTTCGAATAAGAGGCATTTCCTATACAATTTTTTTCACGAGTATTAAAGGGATACTCCACTTTTTTTGGAAATAGGCTCATTTTACCACTCCCCCAGAGTTAAACGGTTGGGTTTTACCGTTTTCGAATCCATTCAGCTGATTTTATGATATTTAGAAGAATATCAGAAACCAGACAGTTTCTGGTCTCATTGATTTCCATAGTAGGAAAAAAATATACTATGGAAGTCTATGAGACCAGAAACTGGTTACTGATATTCTTCTAAATATCAAAAAATCGTCTGAATACATTCGAAAATGGTAAAACCCAACCGTTTAACTCTGGTGGTGTGGTAAAATGAGCCTATTTCCAAAAAAAGTCTTGAATTTCTAAAAATCACAGCTTCATCGGAATGTTATGAAACTTGGTGACTTTTATGACATTATGTATGTGAATACACAAGTGGTTGTAAAAAATAGTCACACTTGTGATCTTCGGTCAAAAATCGCCGATCCATAGGAAATGAATGGGAAATTGACAAAAAAACAAAATTCTCTGAATTTTTGTACGTGCAATCTACAAATCGGCCACAATTCTAAAAAAAAAGTACACCGCAGGAAAGGGGTGACACTCTACAACATCTAGAGTGCAAAACAGACACACACACCCACATACAAACACACACACTCTTATACACGTACACACCAATACATTTTGATTACAAAAAGTATGTTTTGAATTTTTAAAAATTCAATCGCGATGTTACGAAACTTGGTGACTTTTATGGCATTATGTATGTGAACACACAAAAAAATTGAGGTCATGATCTGAGCATGCTAAGTGGTCGTAAAAAAATAGTCACACTTGTGGTCTTTGGTCAAAAATGACCCCCATAGGAAATGAATGGGAAATTGACAAAAACACAATTCACAAATTTTTATTTATTTATTTTTTTACATTTTTTAGAAAAATAAAAATCGTTTTTGAGATTGTTTCAACTATATATTCGAATCCACCAAAAAAAAAAAGTGTTCATAAACATCTGGGGAATTCACATGCCTCTCCATAGAGAGCTGTACATGCCATCTAGTGGTTACACCATGATTCTACCCTTTTTCTCTATACTGTAACCAGATGGTGCTAATTTTCTTCAAAAAAATATTTTTTTGAAGGCCTAGACTCAAATTAATAATTTTTTGAAAAAAATAATATATATATGGAAAAATATATATTTTTTTCCATGGCAAAAATAGACCATAAATATTGCATAAATATTAATAAATTCAATTAAATTGTCTCAAAATACTAAATGACAAAGAATAAATATTATAGAACAAAAAAAAAATTGCATTGGTTTTACTGGGATGGAGGAAATTTAATTTTTAGGTGTCCGGTCACTTTTGACCGGGAAGATGACAAGTGTGACTCCGAAACGAAGAGCATGTTTTTGCTTAAAACCAGTCAAATTATCAGGGTGAGAAAAATAATCTTGTTTTCCATTTTTCTTGTTAACGTACTCCATTGGCTTGGCTAATCATTTTGCTTGTTTTAAACAAAAACTCAATTATTATTATTTTATTATTTTTTTTTAGAAAATAAGTGTTATTTTACTTCTCTAGCACATGGTGGAAACAAGACAGACATACTGTACTAAGAAAAGCCTTTTTTGCAGTGTAGAAAACAAATTCACAAAACACTCATGTTGTTCCAAACCCTGAACACTCATTTGTGCTTGTTCATATTCAAATATCAGTCTTGTAATCTCAATTTTGCCTATTTGTAGTGCAGATTAGTCAGTCTGTGGTCGCCGTACAGTACTGTCTAAACACTTTTTTGTTGTTTAATATACAATATACATTACTGTTTTGTGCCTAATGTCTTTGCTTTGTTTTCTGTTTCTTTTTGGCGCAAGTCATAATGTAACAGCACGCCAGCAGCCAATCACAGAGCCGATGCAAATTCAGATTACAAGAGGAGGGAAAACAATCCCCCGGTTGCACCTGCCTCATTTGATTGGCAAATTAGCATCGACGAGAGCCTGAGCTGGTCTTTATCTGAAGATCGACGGAAAATACCATTCCCAACTAAACCTGCAGGCTTCATTTTGAGTGTTTTGTCGTTAACGGTGCAACACATATATATATATATATCATGCTACTAATCTCTATTTAATCTCATTAGCCATTTTCGTAGGCCTTGAATCAGCCTTGGTGTTCAGGACCCTCAGCATCTGGACTCACCTTCAGGTCCCGATGGACCACCCCCATCTGGTGGCAGTGGAGAACAGCCTCAAGGATCTGCTGAATGCAATGACTGCATGCAAACACCAGGGGGTGTGGGTTAGTGACAAGCACACACTCACTATCTGAGCACAGCATCGAGAGCGAGGGAGCAGGCGCTTGGAGGCGATGATGAATACTACGGAAATGGGCGTTTAGTGTTGCATTTCAGATGATTACGCAGTAGGGGTAATCTCTACTGATGAGCTCACGCTAAAAAATCTTGGGTTATTTTTTCAAAATTGAGCCTTTTGGGTGATATTTTCAGTATTTGGGTATTTTTTTCGAGTTACCCAGATCTTGGTGTTGGTCTACACTGATACACATTATAATGACTGACGCTGTCTACACTATTAGGCACGTTATGTACAGTAATAAAACATTCGTTTGTGAACGTCATCAAATATAGTTATATATCTATGCATTGCCCATCTACTGTCATCATCACCTCTCTTGTCTTGCTCCCCAAAATCTCAATCCAGAAGTGGTGTTTGCTTGGGCGACTGTGTGCTTGACCCACTCAATCATTGACTTATGGGTTCTGACGCCCGTTTTGCACACAAACAAAAAAAGACAAGTCAAACACACAGTCCCCGATTAGGTACTACATGCACAAAGGCATAGCTCTGAGGTCATTATGTGTGTTTTTACCCCTCAGCCCACCGCAACACACGTTTCTCAGTGTGTAGCTGTGTTTCGAGGGGTCGGGGGTGAGTAGAGGAGGCGTCCACAATGTTGTTTGTTCAAACAGGTTTGAGCCTGTCATACTAACCTTCAAGTCTCGATGCACAATGCCATTTAAGTGACAATGATTAACGCTCTCTAGAATCTGCTGTATGCAATGACTGTGAGAGAGAGACACAGCGAGGAAGCCAAAGAAGAGAGATTGAACAGTTCAGAAAATAATGCAGATGACAAACAAACAAGCAAGGAACATACTGTACTCCAGTCTGTAGAAAATAGTATGATATTTGCTATAAAACTGGTACAATTGCAACCCAGAAATGACAATCACCCTCATGGCACTAGCCGCGTTTCCATTACCCTTCAATTTGCGCAAATTGAGATTGCGAAATGAAAATACGCTCGATGGAAACACGTCAGTTTCGCAAAAAGGTTTTTACGCTCGCATGAGGAGGTTTTTCAGGCAATTCGAAAAAGGATTTTTTCGCAAAACTGCAATGGAAACGGATTTTGCACATTTAGTCACCTGACTGGTCCGTGTCCGCAAATAATAATAATAATTATCATCATTAGCCTATTATAACATTTATTAGGCTATATATGTAGCCTAGAAGACGCTTTTATCCAAAAACGCAACAAAGCAATTCGTCACATCTCATTCATGTACAGGTTGGACAATAATAATAATAATAATAGGGCTAAGATTATCACAAATAAACACTCGATTTTGCCCAATATGAAAGTGAACACTTTCAACAGTGGAATCAACTTAAAATACTCTAGCATTTCTGGTTATACAGAAAATAATAATACATTATTCGCAACTACTTTTATTTGCGTAATGTCACGATAACAAGAAAACGTTGTGCTTTTGTAAAATAACATAAAACAATCAGGCGCGCTTTATGATCTTCGTGAACTGGAGCGCGAGAACTGAAACGATAGCCTTTATAGACTAAAGCTTGAAATGTCCACTTTAAAAAGAACAAATTCGAATCGTAAACGAATACCTTCTGATTATGTAATCCGTATGAAAGGTGCCGTTCTCCCTAAAGGTGCATCCGGAGATTATGTTTTTAGCTCGTTATTTTTTCAGACGCATTTATAACTCGCCTATACAGCACTGCGGGAAAATATCATAAATATCCATGTTCTAATTTGGCCTTAGAAAACCAGTAAAATCAAAATTTTTCCCATATTAATTAGTGAATATTTTAAATGTTTTAAAGGGGGTAAAAAGTCATAAACAAATATCTGAAATTTCGTTGAGATGTATATATAGCGCAGCATTGGTGTGGTCAAACTAAAATGATGATGTTCAACTTTGCGTTTTAAAAATACAACAACCGTTCATTTTTCGCTTTGCAACGAGCGTTTGGACATAATACGAGATAGAGTTATTTATTAAATTCATTTAAAAAAAGAAACAATAATCACAGGAATAGCCTCTAAACCTCAAAGAAATGAAGACGTCGAAGCAGAAATAAGGGAGAAACACCAGGAACTCTGTGTCTTTCCCCGCCATTAATGCTTGGATAACACGGCACGTCTCCGTCCTTTAATAATAATAATAATAATGTCTAGTGCAGTGCATGGCTGTGAAATAAGTTATAAACCTACCAAAGTCCGTTGATTTTTGGAATGACTTATAGCGAGATTAAAAAAAGACGTTTTAGTCGCATAACATCGGTTAAATGGAAACACCGTCATTTCGCAATAGTTTTTTATCGACATTTGGAAAATATCGCAAAAGTTTTGCGCAAATCTGTAATGGAAACGCGCCTACTGGAATCCCTATTGACTTTCTTTTCTTTCTTTCTGTCTTTCTTCAGGGGAACGCAGGCGAAATTTGAGCCGATCGCTGTTTTACGTTACTATGAGCTTTCAATAGGACTTTAAAAGCATCACAAAAGAAGTCTATAAAGCTTGTGCGCAATTTTCCTGTACTTCTGAAGCCATGTGATAGGTTTATGTCGCAAAAAGCCTGGAATTGTTGATCATCTAGATTTCCCAAGAAGATCGCATTGGCACCAATGGTCTTGGGCTTACGATGCATTTGTAAAAGCAGACTAGATCAGTTGTGATTCAGATTTGGACGCACTGCAAAAAAAAAGCTTCCCTTACTTAGTATTTTTGTCTCGTTTCCAGTCTAAATATTTAAAAATTCTTAAATCAAGAAGCATTTACTAGTTAAGCAAAAATGACATACGAAAGTATATCTTGTTTTCTAGATGATCTGCCAATGGGGTAAAATGACAAAATAAGAATAAAGTTTAACATTTGGCAAAAATGACCAACAGTGCGTATAATTTCAAAATAAATGGAATATTGAGTTGTCTGGGATACTTTTATGATGCTTTTATTGTCCATTTGTGTCCTTTTTAAATCTTGAATGCATTCAATGTAATTGCACAGAAAGTCTTTAAAGTTTCGTATTTGAAAAGAAAAGTCAAATGGGGCTGGAATGAGAGAATTTTCCTTTTTGGGTGAATTATACTTCTCAAAGTAATATAAGAAATAATGACAGAAGCATATTAAAAGAAATGGTTAAACAACCCAAATTAAGATAACACGAACAATGACAGACAGACATTAAATGTACAAATGCATTTGGGAGACAAACTTTACATCATTTCTTCTCAATGCAGTGATATAAGACACGATTGCGACCACAACTGGCTTAGAAGGAAGTCCGTCAAAGCAAATAATGATATCATGCACACATCAACACTCATAATAAACTACGGTTCGTCTGTTTTGTGAATTACGAGATGCACTTGTATGTTCTGGCTTCAATGCAAGTAGTCTCTTAGTAATGCACTTACAATGAAAGTGTATGGGGCAAGATTTACTGACGAGGAGAGAGTTCAAGAGTAACACAAACATGAGTGAAGCGACACGACAAAAGCAAATAAAATTCATTATAATCAGTGATGCTGTCTACACCAGACAGCAACATAGCGTTGTTTGCAGGGAGTTTGATTGACAGGCGGTCTGACCAATCATAATCCGCCATCCGCTGAATCCGCCATGTTTGTCCGGAGAGTTAGTAGATTAACGTCAGAGGATTTGAACTTGAAAAACGGTGTCCTGACGTCTTTCCGTGAGTGGCGTGTCTTGGCGGACATAGCAACAGTAATTAAAGGGGGCGGGTCTTTGCGAACGGCCAATTACCAATGCAATTATAAACAAGACACTGTGAAACTTCAAAACTTTTGTGAATCATTTGTTCTGAACCAGAGTATCAAACTGCCAGTCACATGATTACAGTAAACGAGGCTTCGTTACGTCATCACGGTTTCCAAATGTCAACGAATCACCACTAGGTGGCGATGATCTCTGTGAGCCCATGACTCGGTCTAGTGATGATTTGTACCTGATCTCAGATCCATTTTGTAAACATTTAATGACACATTTGTTTAATAAAAAAAAAGTTGCGGTTAAACGTCTCCATAAAACGAACAAATAAAGCTCTACCATTTCAAAAATAAAATTTTACTAAATACGAAAATCGTCATATTTAGTAGTATTAGATGATTTGTTAATAGCATTTGATAGATGACGGCTTCATTCGTTTTGTAAAAGGTGTTTTGACGCTGCATTTACACTGATCTGACCAGCAGGGGGCGCCAGCGAGAGACAATCAATTATTCTGCGAAACAAATGATTTAAAGCTTTGTTTCTCTCATCATTATGGCATTCAGGTGTGAAGGAAACCCGGAAGGTATTCTTCTGATCACAGCGCCCTCGTTTGGTGGGAGGAGGGAATGACAGATATCACAGATATAACACTGTCTTACTCCATAAACTTCCACTGTAAGTGCATTATTGTTTGAAATATTTAAAAAAAATACCACAGAATAAAGTTATTAATTGATTAACTTATTTACACAGCTTCATAAAATATATAATACAACCCAGAATGCAACGTGTCGGCCCAGATCAGGCCCACATCTGTACACGCACAGTCAAACCAAAATGCATTCAGACGCCTTCAACATTATCACAGTCTATTCGCTATAGTTTTCTGTTGGACTCTCACACATGAATTATGTTGAATATCTGTCAGCTGTTAAATTTAATACACAATTAGATAATACCAGTTTAGCTCAAGCAATGCTTCATGTTGTTCAGTGTGTGTGTGTAAAAAGAGCATTAGCAACTACAGAAAACACACATGATCAGATCAAAGTGGAGGAATCATTTTGGTCCCAAGAAATTATGGGTATCACTCTTAGAAGAAATGGTTCTATTTAGAACCAGAAATGGTTCCATCCCCCGCTTCATATATGGAACTCCAAAATGGTTCTACTGTATATAGAACCTTTTTTTTTTTTGGTAAAAGGTTCTATTGGCCAAGTATGGAATCTATAGAGAATCCAGAGGAACCCTTTTTTAAGAGTGTATAGAACCTTTTAGGGGTTCCAAATACGTAGAACCTTTGCTGATAGAACCTTTTAAGGTTCTAGATAGAACCTTTTCTTCTAAGAGTGAATATGCCACATTTTCCTTTATTTTGCACTCCTCACTTACATAAATGAACTACCCCACTGCGCAATGTGACGTTAGAGTGACGTCTTTTCTATGTAATGTTTGGACGTCCAGTTTCAGTCCACTGAAGGGGTTGTTTTGTAACGCCAGGCGACGTCTTTTGCACGTCTAATATTGACGTCGGTGGGACCAAATGTGGACGTCTTTTCAACATCAAATTTAGTATCTTCTATAACTGTAGTCCCATGTTTCAAAAAGGTAGAGAACATTTTTAAAGGATGTTATCTGTACCATGTATTCATATGTTTGCATTTGACACATGCTTTTATCCACATTGCACTTTTACATTCCTGCTTTTCCGGGGAATCAAGCCCTCGATCTAAGCATTGCACTCGGTGGCTGTTTCACAAGTGCCAACGCTCTAATGTTGATAACAACAATGTTGATATTTGTAAATAAAAAAAAACATTGCATATTAATCATGTAAATTTCCTGCACCTGTAATAGACGTCCAAATGAGGTCCAAAAAAATGACCCAGTTCAACAGTCAAATGTTGAACGTCAACAAATTGGGTCATGGTTGGACGTCCAAATAGTGGACCTAGTTTGGACGTCGAATAGTATTGGTCATGGACCAACGGACCCAATATAGACATGATCTGCACGTCTATCCGACGTCCAGTGTTTAGTGGGATAGTGTCCTGCACACACTAGTAAAATGATACCTGGTGTCTGAATAATCTTAGGTTTGCCTGTCCTCCACACGGATCTGGGCCGACACTATAAATGATATAATATTAAAAGCATTCTCCGTCCTCAGAGGTGTGCGTTTGGACTGAAGCACTGACCTGGCGTCAGCCTCGCTGTAATACTCTCTGGCCACGATATCTTCGAACAGCTCTCCTCCGGTGACTCTGAAACAGGTCCGACATACACCAGCGTTCATTATAACAGCATCTCTGCATCTGCACCTTCACATGACATTCTTAAGAGATTAAAAAAGAGTGTGTGTGTGTGTGTGTGTGTGTCGACTTGTAAATACAGGCAAATTCCTCTGCAAACCAAGCATCTCTGTGAAGGTCAGAGCACTTAAAGGGCTCTTTACTCCGAGTGTGTGTGAGCACGTGTGTCACCGCCACTTTCTGCTGAATTTCAATGTTATTTCGACAACACAGCTTATAGCACTGATTTGGCAAATTCAAATATTGCTTGTTGGTGCGTCTATTAGGCTTTCATGAGGCATTATAACTGTGTCATGAATATGTTTCTTGACCTCAACTACAGCGGCACACATCGAATTTGTCATTAAAATGTTATAATGCCTCATGACAGCCAATGTAAAAACCAACCACAGACCGTTTAATGTAATGCTAACCCATTAAAGGATTAGTTCACTTTTGAAAAAAAATTGCTGATAATTTACTCGCCCCCGTGTCATCCAAGATGTCCATGTCTCTCTTTCTTCAGTCGAAAAGAAATTAAGGTTTTTGATGAAAACATTCCAGTATTTTCTTCATATAATGGACTTCAATGGGGACCAAACGGTTCAAGATCCAAAAGAAACTTTAAGTTCAAAGGGCTTTAAACGATTTCAGACGATGAATAAGGGTCTTATCAAGCGAAGCGATCGCTAATTTTTTAAAAAAATAACAAAGTTTAAGTTTTATAAGCTCAAACGCTCGCCTTGCTCTGTTCTGTAACGCTCTCCTGTTCGAACTCGTTCATCAAAATGAACAAATCTTTTTCCGAGTCATTTGGTTCATTCGGCGAAAGAAACGAACGAATTGATTCGGAAAAAGATTTGTTCATTTTCGAGAGTCACGAACGTGCACCACAGAACAGAGCAAGGCGAGCGTTTGAGCTTATAAAACTTAAACTTTGTTATTTATTTATTAAACGAGCGATCGTTTCGCTTGATAAGACCCTTATTCATCGTCTGGTGTCGTTTAAAGTCCTTTGAACAAGTTTGCAGTTTGCACTGAAAGTGTCTTTTGGACCTTGAACCGTTTGGTCCCCATTGAAGTCCATTATATGGAGAAAATCCTGGAATGTTTTCATCAAAAACCTTCATTTCTTTTCGACTAAGGAAAGAAAGACATGGACATCTTGGATGACACGGGGGCGAGTAAATTATCAGCAAAAGTTTTTTACTACTTTAAATTTGATAATTAATCTGCTATGTCATGTTTATGACATATTTAAAACCGATCTGCGATAATCAGCACTTTTTGTGGTTTATTTGGTGAGTGGAGGAGCTCTCATTAACAGACACACTCGTTTAACAGGAGAACTGGAGACGTGACCTCACACACACACACACACAGAGAAAACTGCACTCACAAATCAAAGACGAGGTAGTGAACACCCTCCTCTGATATACTGTCATGGAGCCTCACTGTGGAGAGAGAGAGAGTGAGAGAGAGACACTGATTAGATGCTATCGAGCAGCTCACAGTCATAATCGTTAGCATGAGATTTTCACAGACTCGTTTATTCCACAAATTGGAATTATTTCTGCTTCTGTTTCCTGTCATTGAGAAAGAAGAAGAAAGGGCAGATCCACCGAAGCGGAAGTGTGTCCATCCTGATAGACCTTATTCACGGTAGCGCCATCTTTTATATAGACATACAGTGGGGCCAAACGTATTTAATCAGCCACTGATTGTGCAAGTTCTCCTACTTAGAATGACGAGAGAAGTCTGTAATTTTCATCAACTATGAGAGACAAAATGAGAAAAAAAATCCAGGAAAAAAATCACATTTAAAGAATTTATTTGTAAATTATGGTGGAAAATAAGTATTTGACGTTTTGGTTGACAGTAACACTGCAGGATTAGAGTCCCTCTCGGTGTAGTGTGTTACTGGTGGTAGTCTTTGTTAGTTTGGTATAATGTGAAAAATCAGACAACATGAGCTGTGGAAAATAATAAATGATCTTTATACCAGTTTTGTACAGTGGAACACGGTAAATCGATCCCTCACGCCAATACCTAAGCATTCTGGGATTGAATTATGAGTGAAGTACAGCCAAATGAACTGGAACATTAAACTGGCATTTATTTAGTTGTTTACTGGGACGGCCTTCACAATAAGAGCACGCAGACCGTGCCTAAACACGCTGTTCTTACTCGGTGTGTGTCTCGTTTCCAGTCCAAATATCAAAATCAAGATCCATTTACTTTAGTAAAATTACATTAGATATTATGCCCTGTTTTCCAGGGTAATTAATCAAAATTAAGACAAGCAAAATTATCTGCCAATGGGGTCAGAAAAATAATGTTAATTCAAACAGAAACAAGTTTATTTTTCTCACGGCACTGGCTCGTCTTACGCAAAAACTCACTTCATTTTTTTTTATTTCCCAAGAAAACAAGGCTAAATATCTAATGTCATTTTACTACTTTAGTAAGTGCATCTTGATTTAACCTGTTTAGTGTTTAGTTTTGATATGAATTCAACCTCTAAGAAACAAATAAAAATAACACGTTACAGCTCGCCGCCACGTCACAAATGGTGAATCTATTTTTTTCTTTACATTTAAAACATTTTCAGACCTTTTTTTTCTAAAATAACTTGGCATGAAAACAAACTGAGGTTTCTATCGTTCTTTCGTGATTTTTCATGTTCATCACACAATTTCAAAATAAAAATCTAAACACGGCTTATGAGTATGAAAATATTCTTGTTGCAAATTGATAAACCACAGCTCCTCTGTAATTTATTTTGAAAATCAATCACCAAATATGGAAACTAGACATTGTAAGCTTTCAAATGATTAGTTTAGGTTTATTATAGGACATTACTGTTTTAAAAATATAATGGATTTGGCCCTTGGACTGGAAACGAGACACTGAGTAAGAAAGAGCCTTGACAATAACTCATTGTTGAAGTCTTCTGATGGAACGGCGATGGCCATGAGCGAACGATCTCCATAATAAAGGCGGAGTCTCCATCGTCATCACCGGCGGCCATCTTGTCACAGGCAAGTTTTCTGCCGGCTCCGTGGATCCTGATGTAAGACGAGGTATCGGCACGAACACAAATACTCTTATCTCTGAGAAAGCTTGATGGATTTTCAAACGACTTGGTTTCTTACAAACGTTATTAACGTGGCTATAATTCTAGATGATTATTTATTGATAAGTGTGCAGTTTCATAACTACATCTCTGAGGTTTATAACAAACCAAACCGGTAGAAAATTGAGAAAGTTATGGTTATTTAAAAAGTACACGCACCATTGAAACACAATGTTACGAGTGAGCGAGCTGACTGTAGCAAGATGGCCGCCAGTGCGGACGTCGACCTCCATTTGACATCTAGCCTTTATTATGGACATCTATGAGGAATCCCCTCAGTGTAAATATCTCGAACCTGTTGCCATAGTAACGGCGGGAGAGCGGCTTTCGTTCGCGTTACATTACGAGAAACCGTCATTGACTCGTGAACACTTTACAATAAGGTGAACACTTCAGCACTTTATCATGTTCATTTCAACATTTACTAATACGTTAATAAAATCAAAGGTTGTATTTGTTAACATTAGCCACTGTGAACTAACAATAAACAGCTTTATTTTTATTAACTAACATTAATAAAGATTGATATATACTAAGAAATGTATTGCTCATTTATGTTAATTAATACACTAACTATTGAACATTATAAGTGTGACCGATGACTCTTGAAGTCATATTTGTGAAAAAAAAATATATATAATGAAGGCTCAAAAAGAGACTTATCTTACAAACAATCTATACTAAAACTGTGTGTGTGTGTACACTAAGTAGTGTCAGTGGCGTACGACGAACACACGGGGGAGGGAATGTGATATAAGGTGTTCATCTCATCTGAAGCTGTGTGTTATAGTCATAATTACTGCTAGCAAACGCCAACGCTTGTAATCTCTGTGTGTCAGGTGTGTGTGTGTGTGTGGGCTGAAACGCTTGAACATTTATAGCTGTTTCCAGACTAACAGCTTCAGGTCAGATTTGCATGATATAATTAGCATAAATCACTCATAAATCTCGTTTTGATGAACTAATATTGATCTTTCAGTCTGTTTTTAGTTGATGAATGAACAAAAGTGGCGAACCGCCGCACATCTGTTAATTATCATTGTATTGATGCATTCAATATTATTATTAGTTACATCATATAATGTAATGATTGTGATGTAGCGTAGTTATTTTTAATTGCACTAAAACTTTAGATCTTTTTGTATTTCATTATATATAATTGTATTAAAATTACACCGGATTTCTAATTATAATATTTTTTTTACCAAAAAGGAAATTAATATATGAATTAAGCCAAAAACCTGAAATTAAATTTGGTTACTCAATTGATTAAATAAAGTTTATTTAATAATTAACAATTAACACTTAAATAAAAAACTACATAAGGCTGTTTTATAAACATTTTAATATAGTTATGTTTTTACTCCACATTGTTGGTGAAATATAAACATTTAAATCATATTTATTCATACATTAAGGGGGATAACTCCAACAGGTCGAGTCTAGATATACTGCATATGAACAGTGTTGGGGTTTAATGTGTCTAGCTGAGTATCGAGTTTATGATCATCGATCGGCTGAACTGAGGTAAACGTGGCATCATTTTATTGAGGTCTTGTAATTAATCATGTAATCGATTGTGTGTGTGTGTGTGTGTCTTCACTCACCGATGTTGGCATGCTTGAGTAGACGACAAATTCGAGCCTCTCGTTCCAATTTTTGGTGATCTACAAAAAAAAGCAAAAATCAATGTTTATGTCTGTTAAACACTTGACTGGTGTGTATACAAGTTTCTGCTGAATGACGTGATATGTAAATGTTTGTTTAATAGCAGTGTAGTGAATTTCACAGGACAGAAATGTAATTTGTCTGTTATAATAGATCCAATGTTTAATAAATATGGTCTCTACTGGTTCCTCTGAGGTCAAAAATGAACAGAATATATAAACAGCAAACAGGAGTCATCGGAAAATTACATTTCTTTAGTGAGTAATGTTGCAGTTTGAGCATGAAAAAGGTCTAAACTGAACCCTCAACACACTGATCCAGCCGACCAATCACGGCACACTGCTCCGGCTGACCAATCACGGCACACTGCTCCAGCCGACCAATCACGGCACACTGCTCCGGCCGACCAATCACGACACAATGATCCAGCTGACCAATCACGACACACTGCTCCGGCCGACCAATCACGGCACACTGCTCCGGCCGACCAATCACGACACACTGATCCGGCCGACCAATCACGACACACTGATCCGGCCGACCAATCACGGCACACTGCTCCGGCCGACCAATCACGGCACACTGCTCCGGCCGACCAATCACGACACACTGCTCCGGCCGACCAATCACGGCACACTGCTCCGGCCGACCAATCACGACACACTGATCCGGCCGACCAATCGCGACACACTGCTCCGGCCGACCAATCACGACACACTGCTCCGGCCGACCAATCACGGCACACTGCTCCGGCCGACCAATCGCAGCACACTGCTCCGGCCGACCAATCACGGCACACTGCTCCGGCCGACCAATCACGGCACACTGCTCCGGCTGACCAATCACGACACACTGCTCCGGCCGACCAATCACGGCACACTGCTCCGGCCGACCAATCACGACACACTGCTCCGGCCGACCAATCACGGCACACTGCTCCGGCCGACCAATCACGGCACACTGCTCCGGCCGACCAATCACAACACACTGCTCCGGCCGACCAATCACGGCACACTGCTCCGGCCGACCAATCACGGCACACTGCTCCGGCCGACCAATCGCGGCACACTGCTCCGGCCGACCAATCGCGGCACACTGCTCCGGCCGACCAATCGCAGCACACTGCTCCGGCCGACCAATCACGGCACACTGCTCCGGCCGACCAATCACGGCACACTGCTCCGGCCGACCAATCACGGCACACTGCTCCGGCCGACCAATCACGGCACACTGCTCCGGCCGACCAATCACGGCACACTGCTCCGGCCGACCAATCACGGCACACTGCTCCGGCCGACCAATCACGGCACACTGCTCCGGCCGACCAATCACGGCACACTGCTCCGGCCGACCAATCACGGCACACTGCTCCGGCCGACCAATCACGGCACACTGCTCCGGCCGACCAATCACGGCACACTGCTCCGGCCGACCAATCACAACACACTGCTCCAGCCGACCAATCACGACACACTGCTCTGGCCGACCAATCACGGCACACTGCTCCGGCCGACCAATCACGGCACACTGCTCCGGCCGACCAATCACGACACACTGCTCCAGCCGACCAATCACGGCACACTGCTCCGGCCGACCAATCACGGCACACTGCTCCGGCCGACCAATCACGACACACTGCTCCAGCCGACCAATCACGACACACTGCTCCAGCCGACCAATCACGGCACACTGCTCCGGCCGACCAATCACGGCACACTGCTCCGGCCGACCAATCACGGCACACTGCTCCGGCCGACCAATCACGGCACACTGCTCCGGCCGACCAATCACGACACACTGCTCCAGCCGACCAATCACGGCACACTGCTCCGGCCGACCAATCACGACACACTGCTCCAGCCGACCAATCACGACACACTGCTCCGGCCGACCAATCACGACACACTGCTCCGGCCGACCAATCACGTGTGTGTGCGTGTGTGTGTGTGTGTGTGTGTGTGTGTGTGTGAGTGTGTGTGTGCATGTGTGTGTGTGACAACCATTACAAAAAACATTGATCAATCACTCCAGATGCAGTTCAGCCAATAAGATTGTTTGTGTGTAAAGTTTACTCTCAGATCTCCACGGCTCGAGTGTGTAATATCAGCATCATCACAGACACACACGAACCTGTGACATCACAGGACACTGACTGAAGAGTGTAAACGTCCCTCTGTGTGTGTGTGTGTGTGTTTCTGCACAATAACAGTGTGATCAGTTTTGTTCTTTCCTCATTATTAGAAAAGTTTGGCCAAACTCCATGTTCTTCATTAAGTGGCCCAGATGGAGAGCTTTTCATTCAAATCTAGTTTTTGCGTATTTTAAGTGTTGCTGTGACCCAGTTCAGGCATTTCCCCTCAGACGCAGACGGAGAGATGGAAGAACTGGAGCAGATCTTCTCAAATCAAGTCACTGTCCATCGACTGACATAATGCAGACGAGAAACACAAACAAACATGGAGAAATATGAGCCCGAGAGAGAGAGAGAGTGTGTGTGTGTGTGTGTGTTCTCACACTGATGTAAACAGAGGTCTGGTGTTCAGAGTTTGCATGAGAAGCAAATTAGTCCAAAAGAGGCGAAAGAGAATATTAAAGAGAGTAAAAACAAAACATTTAAGAAAAAACGACTTTCAGTCAACATGCACCAATGCTACAATTCTCTAAATGTCTAGTTTAGAGTTAGTTAACAAACAAGTATTCTTCACTTCAACGAGCTCATCGTTTCTGCCTTAAATGATTACATTGTTTAAATGAATAATTTGTATATGTACATTTCTGAAATACATAACTTATACAGTCTCCTCTGATAACAGACCACTGTGAACTGTAATGTGGACTTGTGCATTTTCTATTGTGAAAAGCGCTAGACAAATAAATGTGAATTGAATTGAATTCTTCAGCCACATATATATATTTATATCACATATTAAAGGGAATAAAAGCAAAAAATTTAATGAAGAAAACCCGACTTTGTTCTTCTCGAAGAAAACCTGACAGAGAGCCGTACGGAGAGTCGTGCAGAGAGTCGTACAGGAGAGTCATACGGAAGAGTCGTACGGAGAGTCATACGGAAGAGTCGTACAGGAGAGTCATACGGAAGAGTCGTACGGAGAGTCATACGGAAGAGTCGTACGGAGAGTCGTGGGAGTCGTGGGTAGAGTTGTACAGAGAGTCGTGCAGAGAGTCGTACAGGAGAGTCATACGGAAGAGTCGTACGAAGAGTCGTGGGTAAAGTCGTACAGAGAGTCGTACGGAGAGTCATGCAGGAGAGTCGTCCAGAGAGTCGTGGGGAGAGTCGTACGGAGAGTCATCTGGAGAGTCGGCCGGAGAGTCGTACCGAGAGTTGTACGGAGAGTCTTCCGGAGAGTTGTAGAGAGAGTCGTGTGGGAGAGTCGTACAGAGAGTCATATGGGGAGTCGTGGGGAGAGTCGTACGGAGAGTCATCTGGAGAGTCGCCTGGAGAGTCATACCGAAAGCTGTACGGAGAGTCGTGTGGGAGAGTCGTACGGAGAGTCGTCCAGGGAGTCGTCCGGGGAGTCGTCCGGGGAGTCGTGCGGGAGAGTCGTCCAGAGAGTCCTGGGGAGAGTCGTGCGGGAGAGTCAAGTGGGGTGTCGTACGGAGAGTCGTCCAGAGAGTCGTGGGGAGAGTCGTACGGAGAGTCATCTGGAGAGTCAGCCGGAGAGTCAAACGGAGAGTCGTACCGAGAGTTGTACGGAGAGTCGTCCGGAGAGTCATACGGAGAGTCATAAATAGAGTCGTCCGGAGAGTCGTACAGAGAGTCGTACAGAGAGTCATATGGGGAGTCGTGGGGAGAGTCGTACGGAGAGTCATCTGGAGAGTCGCCTGGAGAGTCATACCGAAAGTTGTACGGAGAGTCGTCCGGGGAGTCGTGCGGGAGAGTCGTATGGAGAGAGTCGTGCAGGAGAGTCGTCCTGAGAGTCGTACAGGTTAGTCGTCCGGAGAGTCCTGGGGAGAGTCGTGCGGGAGAGTCAAGTGGGGAGTCGTACAGAAAAGTCGTACGGAGAGTCGTGCAGAGACTCGTCCAGAGAGTCGTGGGGAGAGTCATCCAGAGAGTCGTCCGGAGAGTCATCCGGGAGAGTCGTGCAGGAGAGTCGTCCTGAGAGTCGTGCGGAGAGTCGTGCGGGAGAGTCAAGTGGGGAGTCGTACGGAAAAGTCGCACGGAGAGTCGTGCAGAGAGTCGTCCAGAGACTCGTTGGGAGAGTCGTACGGAGAGTCATCTGGAGAGTCGGCCTGAGAGTCAAACGGAGAGTCGTACCAAGAGTTGTACGGAGAGTTGTCCGGAGAGTCGTGGAGAGAGTCGTGTGGGAGAGTCGTGTGGGAGAGTCGTGTGGGAGAGTCGTACGGAGAGTCGTACAGAGAGTCGTGGAGAGAGTCGTGCGGGAGAGTCGTACAGAGAGTTGTACGGAGAGTCATGTGGGAGAGTCGTGTGGGAGAGTCGTACGGAGAGTCGTCCGGGGAGTCATACGGGAGAGTCGTACGGAGAGTCAAAGACTTGCTTGTTTGCTTTTATAATCAGGCTCTCAAAAATTATATAACATTTTTATTTAGATTTATCAGCCAATATATCGGTTATCGGCTTTCAAATATAAAGAATTATCGTTATCGGCCAAAATTTTCACATCGGTCCATCCCTAATTGAATCATGCGCATTATTCTTATATATTCCCATGCAATATGGTAAATAATATCTTTATTGAGTAATAATATTCAAATTCGAGGCTGCAGGTTTCATAATGAATCTCCAGCTGTAGATCCTCGTTTCGGTTCTCACATCGTTAGTCTTGCTTCTCCTTCTCCATCAGTCTCTCGTCCATCTTCCCTCTCTCTCTTTCCCGTCAGACGTTCCTCATGCGACGCCAAACGCCAGTCAAATTTCTGTTTATGTTTCTATGGTGTTTTTTTTTTACACTGGTCTATTTTTGGCATCCTCCCCCGTGTCTGCATATGCAAATGTGCATCTGATAACTTGAGCCGTATT